ACAGGAGATGCACGATGGTAGGTCTCGGAGTGGGAGTGATGACCTCAGCATGCGAACCCGAGCTGAAGCATAGCACAACGGTGGTGTGATGGATACATTCATACGACAGCCTTGCGTTGTCCCAGCGCCACTTGTCGCTACACAAATGTACGCTGATGGGGATATGCTTCCTGACATACTGTATGGCAACGCCGGGCCACTGACAGTTGTACATAACAGAATCGGCGTGGGAGCAGGTGCTTTTAGTACGTACTGGGTACTGTACTCTTCCCGGCCGCTCCCCCACGCAGACACTGGACTCTAGCTAGTCGTGTTCGATTAGTGAGAGGTGGTAATTGTGTCCAATGACATAGGCTCGTGTGCCCCGGGCAAGTGTGGACAGGTCGATATCATGCGTATCCTTGTTTGTCGCCTCGCACTGGTGTCTACCCCGCCATGCAGTGGTGGCGCCCACTCTCTTCACTTCATCCTCACTCCCGCTGGCATGTGCAGCTTCACAGCGAAGATCGCAGCTAACAACCAGATCACGATGATCGCCCGGCAAAACAGATTGAGGCGGAAAATAATCTCATGGCTGTTCCTGATGTGCTCAACGTGCGACACATGCCAGCAGCTTGTCCCTTGCCCTGAAACTCTCCCCCCAGGTGGCATCTCACGAGGCGGGGTAAAAAGAGCCTCTAGGTCCCGCGCATCCATTTCTCTGCAGGCCCAGGTGTTGAACATGCAGTCATGCAGTAAACATGGGGATCCTGTCTCGCTCACCGCTTCCTGCGGCTCATAGTGGAAGAGCTCTAGAGAACATAGCCGTGCCATTGACGTCGTGCTCGCCGCATTCCCTGATCGCAGCCGTGGAGCGTCGAGGGCCCTGCTGAGCAGAGACCAGGCCTGGGTACTCTGACATGTCACTAATGCACCACAAATGCTGAATGATGGATCCTCATCCCCCAGCCGAGACCCAGTTACTCGGCGACCATTCGTGCTCGCTTTGGCATGGGCGCTGCTTTGACGCTGCTGCATGGCAATCATCATACTACTGCATTTGGACCAGCGGAAAAGCACCAGCAAGAGCTCCAGTTAGCTTGAGCTTTGCTTTCCTTCCCGTCTGATCCAGCAGCAGCAGCACATCACATCATTTACCAACCCTGTGTCCTCTTCTCGCTGTCTTCTCTCTTCTTGACCGCCCTGCTCCATACTTTCCTCCCTACGCTTCGTATCCTTTATCTCATTCCTATCTTTGTGTGTCTTGTTCACTTGTTCCCCGACCCGCCCTTCTGAGCCCGTTGACAAGATGGCTGCCGCAGCTGCCGCTCAAAACCCTCGGGAGCGCAAGCCCTCGACGAGTGCCCCCATCTCTACCTTGGCAGGTCCTGTCGGTCCCGGCTTCACGAGGCCGAAGCACAAGCGAACCGCCACGGGCTTTGGTGCGGGAGACATCAAGGCGGTGGAATCGAGCATTCCCGAGCACATGCGAGAGGCGTAAGTTGATAGCCCCGCGATGCGCTTTCTCTGCCCCGCCACTGACAACTTGCACAACAGATGGAGGAAATTTGTATGTCTGAGATGCTGGCGCCGGCCGTTTACCCTCTCTAATGCCATGGTCACAGTCCCCACGCGGTTTCACCACAAAGGAAGAGTTCGAGGTGCGTTCTATACAATTCCTGGGCCCTTGAGGAGGGTAGGGCGGCTGATTTTGCACGACAGGCAGAGGCTGTCAAACACATTGAAACTACCTTGGCAAGATCCCTTTTCAATTGCGATGAGCTGTAGGTCTTGCCGATCGAGCCTACTTTGACTACCATTGATCATGCTGCAGGGCTGCCTACTCCGGGACGGCGTTGGCCTTTCGAGACCGTCTCATTATCGATTGGAACAAAACCCAACAGAGACAAACCTTTGCCGACCAGAAAAGAATCTACTGTATGTGCCCGGAATGAGGGGGGTGGACGTGACAATGCTTATCCATACCTCGCAGACCTCTCCCTCGAGTTCTTGATGGGCCGGGCGCTGGACAACGCAATGCTGAACGTCGGACTGAAGAATGTGGCCAAAGGTGTGTTCAATCTCAGGCTGCTGGATTTCGCAAGCTGACAAGGGCACAGAGGGTCTCGCCGATCTTGGTTTCCGTATCGAAGATATCATTGAACAAGAGCACGACGCGGCTCTCGGCAATGGCGGTCTCGGTCGTCTGGCCGCCTGCTTCCTCGACAGCCTGGCCACGTTGAATTACGCCGCCTGGGGTTACGGCCTTCGTTACAGATATGGCATCTTCAAGCAGGAGATTCAGGACGGTTACCAGGTTGAAATCCCGGATTATTGGCTCGACTTCAACCCTTGGGAATTTCCCCGCCACGACGTCACGGTTGACGTGCAGTTCTACGGCTGGGTCAACAAGTACACCGACGACGAGGGAAAGCAGATTGTGTCCTGGCAAGATGGCGAGATCGTCACCGCGACAGCCTACGATGTGCCAGTGCCAGGCTATGGAACCCCCACCGTGAACAACCTGCGTCTATGGTCGAGCAAAGCCTCCAGTGGCGAGTTCGACTTCGCCAAGTTCAACTCGGGCGAATACGAGAGTGCCGTGGCGGATGAGCAGCGAGCGGAGACCATCTCGGCCGTGCTGTATCCAAATGACAACCTTGAACGTGGAAAGGAGCTCCGGCTGAAGCAGCAATACTTCTGGTGCGCCGCCTCTCTTCACGACATTGTGCGCAGGTTCAAGAAGTCGAAGCGCAAGTGGTCTGAGTTCCCAGATCAGGTGGCCATTCAGCTGAATGACACTCACCCCACACTTGCAATTGTCGAACTCCAGCGGATTCTGATCGACATGGAGGGCTTGGAGTGGGATGCCGCCTGGGATATTGTCACCCGCACATTTGGCTATACCAACCACACAGTGTTGCCCGAAGCGTTGGAGAAATGGTCCGTACCCTTGGTCCAAAACCTTCTCCCACGTCACATCCAAATTATCTACGAGATCAACCTCTACTTCCTTCAATCGGTCGAACGCCGATTCCCCAAGGATCGAGATCTGCTGGGCAGAGTGTCCATCATCGAGGAATCACAGCCCAAGATGGTCCGCATGGCATTCTTGGCGATCATTGGCTCGCACAAGGTCAACGGCGTTGCCGAACTGCACTCGGATCTGATCAAAACTACCATCTTCAAGGACTTTGTCAAGGTCTACGGCCCAGATAAGTTTACCAATGTCACCAATGGTATTACTCCGCGAAGATGGCTGCACCAAGCCAACCCGCGCCTGTCGGAACTGATTGCATCGAAGCTCGGAAACTACGAGTTCTTGAAGGACTTGACGCTGCTCAACAAACTCGAACCCTACGTCGATGACAAGGACTTCAAGAAGGAGTGGGCAGAAATCAAGTATGCCAACAAAGTCCGACTTGCCCAGCACATCCAGAAGACCAAAGGTTACAGTGTCAATCCAAAGGCTCTCTTCGACATCCAGGTCAAGCGAATCCATGAGTACAAGCGCCAGCAACTCAACATCTTCGGTGTCATTCATCGTTATATGGCCATCAAGGCCATGTCGCCCGAAGAGCGCAAGAAGCTTGTTCCCCGGGTATCGGTCTTCGGCGGCAAAGCGGCACCGGGTTACTGGATGGCCAAGACCATCATCCACTTGATCAACAAGGTCGGGGATGTGGTCAACAAGGACCCTGATGTCGGCGACCTGCTCAAAGTTGTCTTCCTCGAGGACTACAACGTCAGCAAGGCCGAGATCATCATTCCAGCTTCGGATATCAGCGAGCACATCTCGACCGCTGGCACCGAAGCGTCAGGCACGAGTAACATGAAGTTCGTCTTGAACGGCGGGTTGATCATTGGTACCCTCGACGGTGCCAACATTGAGATCACCCGCGAAATCGGCGAGCAGAACATCTTCTTGTTCGGCAATCTCTCGGAAGACGTGGAGGATCTGCGCCACCACCACTTCTACGGCGACTACCAGATTAATTCCGAGCTCTTGAAGGTGTTTGACTTCATCAAAAAGGGCACATTCGGCGACGAGGGTGCGTTTGGTGCGTTGATCAGTGGCATCGTCGAGCATGGAGATTACTACCTTGGTAAGACCCGCTGTCTCCAGACCGTAAACAATGAGCTGACCACGGGGGAAAAACAGTGAGCGATGACTTCAACAGCTACTGCCAGACACAGGACCTTATCGACGAGGCCTATAAGGACCAGGACTCCTGGGTGAGCAAGTCGATCATCAGTGTGGCCCGAATGGGCTTCTTCACCTCAGGTATGTCGCCATGATAATCCTGACAGATGATTACTGACTGGGTCTCAGATCGATGCATCAATGAATACGCCGACAGCATCTGGAACATTGAACCGCTCCAAGTCAAAGAGGAGAATGAGGTCAGATCACGGACCGGGTTGGAGACGTAGAGTGAGCGACGGAATAGAGGCGGCTCAGCCTCTTGTTGAACTTTGGCGGGAGACGGCACCAGACTGGGAATATAGGACTGTCCTTGCATTTCCCATGCGCCGAGTTTAGAATCTCCGGGCAGGGGACGGATGGGCGTGGTGGACCAAGACCAAGACAAAACCTAGACTCGTGACGGTCAGCGATGGATGCAACGGCGGATTGACGTACTGTTGATGAGCAACGACGAGCCTGTGCAATGGAAGGCATACAAAAGTCAATCTCTTCTAATTACTCTGGTACAATAAATTCCATAGTGTCCAAGTCAGGTGCTGAGGCTGATACATGCCAAGATGCCGGTTCTGCCGAATGCGGCTAGCGTATCGGGGCCTCGGCCGTGATCTCGCATCTTGCCCGAGTCTTCACCGGCCTTTCCTTTGGCCCTTCCTTTGGCCCTCGACGAGTGTAGACCAGGGCTGGAGGCGTCTTTCTCGTTGTACCGAGCCCTAACCTCGTGCAAGAGGTCCTGAAGTGTACAGTGTACAGTGTATCCAATACCCCTGGCTGTTGATATGTCTGGCCCACCCGAGTGCCACCCCAGGACAACAAGATGACGGCTCTTCCCCCTCAAGTCGCCGTGGTCGACTTCCACCACGCTCGGTGTGTACCTCCTCTCTTTCGTTTGCATGCGACTGCGCAACTCCTGAGCACCGCCCGTTTTCGGCTTCGCTAACGGGCGAATGCTTGTAGGGGTCCCGAGGTCGAATTCTGGATCAACGAGGATGGCCGGACGCTTTCCAAGCGGAATGACTGGTCGCTGTTGCCGTTTATGGCGCTCTCAGATGGCGCCCACGCGATGGCCGAGGAGTTTAGCTACTTTACGTTACTGGATAAGCGCGACACGGCCGCGGTGGATGATACGCACAGCCATGCAGCCTCGAGCAGGCCAACCTCCCTCTTCGGCATCTCATGCACACGCCAGATACGCAGCGAGAGGTTAAAACGCCGCTCCGTGGACGTGACGCGTTCGACGGTGCAGAAGGCTGTGGTGGTGGTGAGTCCGACGGCCCGGGGAATGGGGGAGTTGAGGGAGCGGCTGGGTGCGGTGACGGCGGCGTGGTTTGCGCAGGAGTAAGTGTGCTCTTCTTTGGTTTTAGTCTCGTGGGACTCTGTGTGAGACGATCCGCGTCTAGGAAGTGGGATTGTCGCTATCCAACAAACGCTGATGGTATGCGCAGAGACTTCTCGGACATTTCGATCTTAGAGGTAGGTGAGTGCCCTGCGCGTTGCAGTAGCGCCGATCAAGCAAGTTCGGGACATGGTCAATTGATGCGACGAGAACGTGCAGGAGTTCCAAGCAAGTCTCGTCAGAGCACCGCCTACGCATGAGGACGGCAAGGATCATAACTTTGGTACGTCTTCCTGCGGCGTTGCAGCCGGGCGGTTTGCGTGCCTGCCAGATATATATACCTATGGCTTCTGAGTAGCCAGCTCGAATGCAGCCTCACAGACACGGCTGGTGTATTCTTATGCTGATGCTCGGGTACCAGGCCTCTCTCTGCGAGAAATGATCTACGAGTTTCGACATCAGACACTCGCCTTGGTCAAATGTTTACTGCTGCAGCGGAAGGTGTGTTTTCATCTTCCCCATACCACCAGCACCCTGTTCTGTCCCCCTATTCTATCGGTTCAATCGAGCCAGGATGGCGCACCATGCTCACGTCATGCTAGATGCTCTTCTTCGGGTCGAAATGCGAACGTCTTTGCATGATGCAATTTGCCCTTGTCTCTCTCATTCCCGGCTTGATCGCGAATCTGCAGGATGCAGCGGATCCGAGCCTCGATTCTTATGCGCAGAATGCGCAACGAGCAGCGACTTTGAGGACTAGCGATAGGAATTCATGTACGTGCGGCTGCGTCGGCGTGCTATAATTTGGGCGCATCTGCCTCAGTACTAAGTGAGAACTAACGTACGTGCCTTTCAACAGTGTTGGCGTATATGGGTCTGCCACTGCAGATATTCGGAAAGGTAAGGAAAGCCATTCCCTGCAAATCTAGTGGCATCGATCCTTCGCCGTCATCATCCACCTTCCCCGGCATCGTCCCCATGCTCTATCTTCAAAGCTAACGACAGGGCCCGTTGTTGACTACAGGGCTCCTTCTTCGGTCCCTACACGCCCCTCCAACAACTCGACATCCTCGCCGACTATGACACAAAATCCTACGTCGTCGGCTCGACAAACAGCCTGCTCCTCCAGCAGAAGGAGAAATACTCCGACATCCTCATCAACCTGGACGAATCCAACTCCATCACCATGACATCCCCGTCCCTTCGATCCGCGCTGCAACTCTCGGCCGCCGACCGCCGATGGATCGACTTCCTCACCCAGACCGTGCTCGACACCTGGGACCCCGACAATCCCTCCCGCCCACGCAACATGGGATACGCCGGCAGCGAGGACAGCATCCGCATGCAATTCGAAGAGTACATCCTATCACTCCTGTCAAGCATGGCCTACCAGATCTACCACGAGAGCCTCGTCACCAATGCGATCCCCAACAATGTGGCGAACATCCCCGACCATTTCCCCGACCCGGGCGACACGGCAGGCGACTTCAACCCAGAGTTCCTCGCCATGTGGCGCAGCACGCATAACTTTGAGCTCTTCGACAAACTGACCTCGGGGAACCGCATCTTTGACATCATCGAGCCGCGACACCCCACGGCAGGGGGGCTGGGCGTCGAAGACCTGCAGCGCAGGTTCGCCCAGGGAATGGCCGAGCTGCACTTGGACGACCGCGTGCGCGAGGGCCGGGAACAGCTCGGCCGCACATTGCAGAGCGGGCGCGAGCGTGTCGAGGCCGGCCTGCGCGGCGTGTGGGCCGAAGTCGAGCGGGCGCGACAGCAACGCCAAGCGAAACGACAGAGTCAGAGTCAAAGCCAGACTCGGACGCGCGCCGCCGAAACCGCCGAAGACAACCACACGCACACGATCACGGACAAGAAGGATGAGAAGGAAAATGACGACCCTGGCGCACGAAGGAGCACCAGCCTTCAGGCAGGCACAGGCACAGGCACAGGCACGGGGACAACCACACTATCGCACACGAACTCGGACTCGAGCTCCATAGTCGTGGTCGACAACGACGCTCGACGACCCAACTCGCCTCCTGAATCCAGGTCTGGCGGCAGCGGAGGAAGCGTGTGGAGCGCGCTCGCCATCCGAGACCGTGCCCCCAAAGTCGACACAGCGCAGATCCAGGCCTCGGCGCGCGAGAGCGCCGTCAAGGCGGGCGCGTATTTCAGCTCGTGGGGCACGTGGGCGCGAGAGAGGATGCAGCAGCAGCAGCAGCAGGGGGTGGCCAAAATGTCGGAGACCGCCGCTCCTGGCCGTGGAGAGGAAGCCGGTGGTGGTGGTGATGGTGGAAGGACGGACGACCACAATGTGGGGATGGAGGCGACGAGGCGGTGATACCAGCACGAGATCGAGATCGGGACCGGGATCGGGGTGAGCTGAGATGGGTTGATACATGCACGCACGATACCATGTCACTATTTTATAGCCACATCCACACCCACACCCACTATGCATTGGTGTAGTGTGTCGAGATCGAGGGCGGGGGGTCGAAAGAATCGGACCCGAGGACGAGCGTGAAATGTAGAGGAAAGTCTTAGGCCGAGTAATGAGGGTACCGACGTTCATAGTCCTTCCTGTAGCACTTATTTTGAGTACGAGGTGGTTACTGTACGGTATCTTCGCGTCGTTTCATAGCCTGTGTTGGTTCATGCCAAGCAGCCTCGTCGCTACAGTATCTGCTACAATTCTCACACCTAAAGAAAGGTATGGAACCAACACACATACTATGTAGGCATTGTGAGACTTCACATCCCAGTAGCTTCTGACGCTCTGAAGAATCCGGAACCACCGATACCCTCAGGGATGACTTTCCACCTGCACGTATGGCCTTGTCGATACTCCGAAAACCTGCTGAGAAGTAGCGATGCGAATACCTCAAGTATACCGACTGTGGCTCCTTTCCAGCGAGACCATCTTGCTTGATGACTGGTGAGCAACCCTAGACCTCTTAGCATACGCAAGCAAATTCGTGACAAGTGGTATCATTTTCCTCGCATCAGCTTTTCCCCTTCTTTCTCGAACGCCCTGCCACAAGACAAATTCCGACCCAAACACACAACAACATACCACTGAGACAATGTGTTGTTCACTTCCTGGATCTGCCAGCAAATCTCGGAAGTCGGGTCGGGAACCTGACTCGCCACGCGTCGACGGCCGCTTGCAAGCGAGCCGCAAAGCCAGATCGGACATGGTTCTGCGCGAACCCTTCCTTGACATACTTGGCCCAAGTGTTTGTCAAGACCAACTCCTTGATGCTGAGCTCGGCCTTGTCGAAGATCGTCTCGTCGAACGAGTCGGGAATGCCGATGTTAGCAGGCAGTCTCTCTCCGAAATTGGTCATCTTGTACTGTTGCATCTGGATCGATTGGCTGGCATCACGCTTCCAGTTGTCCTTGCCACCTTCGCCGATCACTGTCGATACAACTGACAGTTCCCCTTTGCTGCTCTGACTTTCCAGATCCTCTGAGACGGTAGAAGAGTAGTAGTTGTCGAATGGTGTAGCCGCATTGGAGGTTGGTTCGGCGCAGACGAGGGCCGCGTATTGCTCAAAAGTGGCTTCAAGATCTCTCAGATGCGCTGAAGAGATGTTGATCGGGAACTCCGAGTATTTGAGGCTTACGAACGAAGCATAAATCCCGACAGCCTGTTGGAACTGTCGTCGCATCAGTGCTGGGTCGTGGCCTTTGGTTTGTCCCTGCTTGCGCAGCACTGCCGATTTCCCAGTCGTGGCTGCCCAGTTGGCTTTCCAATCACGAACGTGGATCAAGAAGCTGATGTTCTCGCCAGAGAAATCTCTCAAAGCCGAAAACATGAGCAGCCCAGTGGGGTCCAGTTTCAAGGCTCGCTCGAGGGCGCTCATGGTGTACATGACACCTTGACGTGTGCTGACAGTACTTTTGATTGATTGGTGCCCGAGCTTCGTGGAACTGGTTGTCGTGGAGCCGTATTTCTGCTTTTCTTCCCACTCGGCGATAATGTCACGAGTCTCGGTGGCAAGTCGTCGGTGTTTGAAGATTTGAAAGAACGGGACAAATATCACTGACGCCTGCATGATCACGATGGATGGCGAGAACCTGTGTATATGTGAGTGACGTTCTCTGAGTCAAGCAAGGGCAGAGAGGCTCACCATAGTGGGGGAACGAAATAGAAGTCTGCTTTTGCCATGCCAGGCGCATACAATGCAACCAACCACATAGGTGAAGCTGGCAAACTGATCTATTGTCAGTGAAGATTGGGTGACAGCCGCAAGTGAGACCTACCCAGCGAGAACGCATGCAACCGTTTGTTTGCGCCATCTGTGAACGTCGTTGATCTTTCGAACTCTCCAGAGCAGCACGGGCGCGTAGATCCATGACCAGAAGATCTGCCATGCAATGGAAGGCCACCTGACCCTGGTCAGCAGGCGAGCTTCCAGCAAGCGAGCATACACTTACCATTCCCATCCTCGTCGACACTGTTTCATCTGGTCAGCCGTGCCTGCCTGGGCTTTACCGGTAATGCCGAAACCGGCATGAAATCTTCTGGAAACCAGAAAGATAATGAGAGTCAACAGCACCTGGCGAGGGTCATTAGCTGAACTCCATCGACGTCATCTTGGCTTCACTCACTTGAACGCTCATGCCGATAGCGATCCATGTCATTGTATTTTTCGTGGCATTGTATGTCTTGACCTTCTCCCACCACTTCCGCCAGATTGGTGTCTTGGAGGTGAAAGTCATCGGCTTGTTTCCAGTGCGGACATCTCCCTCCACGTATCTCTTCTGAGCAGTGGCGACTGAGAGCAGTTGAGCGTTGGTGGCTTGGAAGAGGGCGATACCCAAGGGCAGGTAGATGCTCATGATCCAGTACTCGGTAGCACACGGAAAGTATGCATTGAGCACATAGGCGATCATGCAAAGAACCCAGTACACGTGGAGAGTTGCGACAGCGCTGACTGCCAGTGGAATGTTTCGCATGCGGAGGTAAGGTTGGCGTCGATGACGGATGAGGAAGATAGCAGCAGGCAGCAAAAAGCAGGTCCAGGCAATGACGAGGCCAATGTAGACGATGCCGAGTCCGTCAGTGTTGATTCTGTAAGCCATATCATAGCCATCCGCGAAACGACGCTGGGTCAGAGACTGAGGAGTCGAGGGAGCAATGCTGCCTTTGTCGGGACTATTAACGGCCCTCGGCACGGAGCCTGTACAGGGTGAAGACGTCGAAGCCATCCGGACCAGCGGGTAGCGTGTTCAATCAGTGGATCTGGAATAAGCCAACGTACCGATGTCGATATGACGGTGAGAGATTAGAAGGAAAAGACGGAGATGCCGACAGATGAGTGAAGTAAGACGAGCGCGTGTCGACCCAGGTCGGCAGTGTGCGTGGGCCGAGCTGCGGTGAGAGCTGCGAGTGAATTGCGCGTGAGATGTTGTCGAGGTCGCACAACAGACAGGAAAAGGGTAAGAGGGAAAGGATGATAGAAGGCAGGAGGGGAGGACAAGATGAACTGACACCGTAAGAAGAACACGCTGCCAGCAGGCGGGATTGAAGATGAAGAACGTGTGAGAGATAGTTCACTTCGCGAGAAGAAGAACAACGATGAATCAACTGTTCCGTCAGTGCTACCTGACGGCGACTGTCATCTTCAGTTCACAAGGCTCTCATACCCGCGTGCTCCTCACTCATTTTCGCTTTGGGTGCGGCACACCATGAGTTTTATGTACTGTTTCATCAGCGGTACACTTGCCTGGACAATCATTTACCGCACCCCTCCAAGCAGATTGAACGCCCCCCCATTCCGCGCGTGGCAAAGAAAGAGATCTGGGCGCAAGCGCATTGCAATCGGGCCTGGGTGATGACGGCTACTCTGTGACTGATGGATTTGCCGTCGACGAGTATATGCAGAGAAGACAAAGAGGCTGGGTCGACCAACTCAAGCCTTGCAGGACAGCTGCCGGCCTTGGCCCGGCAAACAAAGAAACACGCCATTTGCCGAGTCGAGGCCACCTAGTAACCTTCCAAACATCCTTCTACCGTTCCACGTTGCTCCCCCCTGTCCGTGCTCCGTGCATGGTACTTGTACCACCCTGCCGAAGATCGACGGATCTGCTTTCTGAGATGCCTCGTCTGACGGACTGGTGAGGCGAAAGAGTGTCCTTTAATCCCATTCCCCAGTCGAGTGCAAAACAGCATGATCCTAGTCCGTAAGGTAGCCGACTTTGGATCTCGGCGCCAACGATCACGCGAGCATCCAAGATCTTTCGCTTCTGACGAAGAACCATAGTTGCCAACGGGCAATTGGCCAAGAGTACGGCTGTGTTACTGTGAGCTCAAATCCCCTGAGGCCCAAAGCGCAAGACCTCTGACACGTGTGATTTGTCTCGATTGGTATTCCTTCCCGAGACAAGCTTCGAAGAGGAAGTTGTTTGCCATGGTTACATCTCGTCGGGATTGTACCGCCTTGCCGATTTCAGTCCTACCGACTTTGCAAGGGTATCCAGAATATCTACAATAAGACACGTTGCCGCACGAGGAATCGCTACTGTACATGCAGCATCCTTCCCCATGCTTGGGTCCCAGTATCATAGTAATGGCTTGGCCACTAGTTTAGACATTCCTGTGTACTGCCCTAGGTGGCAGATTCAGAGCTTGCAGCTGCCGAGATCCATCCTAGAACGACAGAGAGCCCAGCAAGGACACCAGAAGAAAGAGGAGCTTCCTGTGCGGCTCGGACGATTTGAGACATTTGTCAAGATTGATCATATAAGGCCAGTCTGACATATACGACAACCTAAAGGGTGAACAAGGAACGGCACGAGCGAGGTTCGAACCGTCGGTAGATTATAGGAGATCAGGGCTTCTTGCAGGCCGGGGTAACACGCCGGCTGCACGCACGAAAGCGAGGTACGGAACCACACGTGAAGCCAGGAGCAAGTGCGTGAGCCGGATCCAGAGCAAGACTTATGACATCAGGACAACAGCACGCAGCAGCTGTGAAGCAGGAGCACGCAAGATGGGATCCTCGTCTTACCTGCGCTCAGGAGTCAGCAGTGAACCCACACAAACAGATGTAAAATCGACTGCTGTCAAATTTCCTCAGAGATCTTGGTGAAGGGTACGATCATGTCAAGTTTGATCATTTACTATCTAGGCAGAAAAGGTTTATAATCATCGGAACGAACGCGAGAAATAACGGGGAAGAGGCACGTACCTTGGAGGGCGACATTCTCAACTGAGCAGACGGCCACAACAACATTCACAGACAAGTTTCTCTGCGGCAATTGAGGCCGCCATGTCAGATATGGTACCCGCCTCGCTGTTTAAGCAGTCAGTCAGTCATGTCCCACAAAACTGGAGCGGACAATGAGAGCAGGAGATGAGTAGAGTTGATTCAGCATATGTAAGAATAGAATATCATGTCTTCGGCACTGTTAAGAAACTCCGGCGAGAGTCTCCAGCACCGAATTCAATCGCAAATTATAACATCATGAAGTGTGAGAAAGAGAGGGAGCAGATAGGAGAACTGACCTGCTAAAGCTGCCGCCGGATCAGACGGCGACTAGTAATCGACGCTTCCGTTTCAGATTCGTGGAGATAGAGACCCGACTTAGGTAGCACCTCATATGAGAAGTCGGCGGGAGGTAGAGTAAGTGTGTGCCCAAGATGAAGAGCAGCCAGTCTTCCTTTCATCGAGCAGAAATTAAAAAAAGGCAGAAGAGGTGAGTAGAAAAAGTTTCCCCCATCGAACACCGCCAGAAAAGGAAGGCCAGCCGATATTGCTTGGCACACAAAGTCTTGGCCTGGCGCTAACGAATTTCCCGGGCGCACACGAAGGGCGTTCGACATCAGCCAGATTGAACTCCGGCGGCACCAACAAATACATTTCCCTCCCTTCGTACGTGCCCCCGAGATCCAGTGCGATATTTTTCCACGAGCGCCTCATACTCATACTGACCCTCGCGCGCGCACAGCCCTCAGTCTCTCAGTCTCAGAATCACTTTTGCCGGCAAAGATGTCCAACGTCGATATCAAGGCCGCTGGGTGGAAACTCGTCGAGGTCGGCCGGATCGTCACCATCCGCGCAGGCCCCTACGATGGCAAGCTGGCCGTTGTGGTGGAGATAATAGATCCGGGCAGAGTATGTTTGTTTCCGAAGTCATGCCAGATGATGGAGATGGGAAGAAGACAACAGGACAGAATTTTGGCTCACAAACCCTTTTCTCTCTTCCCTTCTAGGTCCTGGTTGACGGTCCGTCGAGCAAAGAAGGCGCCGTGGTCCCCCGACAGGCCATCGCCACCAGCACACTCTCCCTCACACCCTGGGTCATCCCCAACCTCCCCAAAGCCGCAGGCACCGGTCCCGTGAAGAAGCTGTGGGAAAAGAACGAGATTGACGCCAAGTGGGCCGAGTCGTCGTGGGCGAAGAAGCGAGAGCAGCAGGAGCGGCGGAGGAATCTGACCGACTTTGAGCGGTTCAAGGTGATGAGGTTGAAGAAGCAGGTGAGTGAGACACAGTGAGACAGCCAGCTATCGTCTGCGAGCTCTACCGACTACATACTATGGGCTTTCGCATCCCCGCCTGAATCGAGCCAGGGTGTATCTGTGGGGAGAAATCCAGGGCTGACGAACAGGATTTCTAGGCACGATTCGAGACATTGAAGGCTCAGGCCAAAGTCCGAGCAACTGCCAAGGCATGAAATGCGACACGGTTACAGGCGTCACAATCGCGTTCCAAAATCACCCCATTTTTCAGTGGATATGGCATGCTGAGTGCATGCATGCCAGTAAGGTCAAATGGTCAATGTAAATTGGCAACCAGCATCCGCGGCTTGTGGCTTCTTCGCTCGGCCCGCGCGGGTTTTCTGCAGGAACATGATTCAATAGAATTCATGATGTGCGATCAAGATTCAGGGAGGGAAACTGGACTCTGATCAGGTAGAGCCGCACGCCCCCTTTACTACTACAGTCTGTATTGTGCGGTACCAATCACAAACAGTCAGTTGATCTTGCAAGCTCTCCCCTCTCACACACCCACTGAGTCGCTTCAACACCGGTCCGCACTCGGGTTCTGTCTGGTGCAGTGGCGGGTTGTCCTTTTGCTTCTGATACATTCGTGTGCCCCTCGTCGATTGTTTTTCTGTGCATATTGTGACACTCCAGCTCACAGCAAATGTTCAACATCATGAAAGGTGGCGTGAAGTCAATGGCGTGAGAAACGACTGTGGATGACTAGATGGCGTGAGAACCGACTGTGGGATGGTTACCTGGACTGGTTTCAACAGACGACAAGAGCATTGCCGACATTATAATCTCTCCTGGGAGGCCTGCAGTCACAGGGGAGTTCTGGAAAAGCCGTGGTCGAGTTGTGCTCTCCAAATGCAAACCCAGTTGTCAGATATTCAGTCCGACAGTCTCGAACAGCATCACGGTTCAAAAGAGCTGAACTCTCAACGCGGTCGTCGGCCTTGTTTGCCGGATGATGTTGGTTTTCTCAAAAGACAGGCCAACCATCGATCGCGGTCGTATCGCAAAACACATCGAGTATCTGCAATATCATGTGCACCTGGTCTAGGTGACAGGGTCTTTCCAGTGCTGAAGTCGCTGTGTCCGCTCTCAGTGTCGGTTCGAAGTCGAGACAGGCGCGGATTCGCCCCCAAGGAAACAAGGACCAGGCTGATAATGGGACGGCTAGGGGCTGGCGGAGTTCTTCGACCACATTTCGTTGTTGGTCGGTTGCGCCCCACGGGACGAGTTCCACCAAGGGGCGTGACCTTCCGCTGTGTGACGACAAGAAGCTGCGAAAATGTGCGCCCTGTCCAGCAAGCATGCCAATGAAGATTGCATAAGGGTCTTGTTGGGCAAACGTGGTGGCTTTCGGCGGGAATCGTCCAGTGCCGCGAGAACAGCGGGAATTGACCGCTTTACTCAGGGTGTACCAGTCTTGTATGCCTGCGCTGAGAGCTATTTGTCATCGTCCCAGTAGCCATTGATACTTCCGAGTAGCATCTTCCACACGTTGTCATTGGCGGCGGTGGTGTCGCAGATATCCCATGTTAAGCCATGTTCCTTTGGCAGATCCTCGTCAAGCCACCGAAGCCTTTCCATGCCCACAGAGTCGTTTCCGAACTGGATAAGCTGGATTCCAGCCGTCGTTTTTGGATAGCCGTTCTTTTGCAGAAAGTGGACCAATCCTTTGATGGCGTTTGCAACTTCTTCTAGCTGCCGTTCACCTGGCTGCCATTTGCCATCCGTAAAAATGTACAGGCTGATAGATTTTGTACTTGTTGGACACCTCTGCAACTTCTTGCGATACGCTTGGAAAATCCGTTCCAGGCGGTGGGCAAGGTTCGACTGGCCGCTTAGATACTCCCCTCTTGCTTTTACCATGTTGATGAGGGGGGTGGTGTTTTGTGCTTCCTTGCATTGGTCAGACATGACAAATCGAAGCTCACTGCCATTGAGATCGAGCTTCTTCTTTTTTACCATGTAGATCATGCCATTGAACAGCTTTTCGAGCTTGTGCCAATGTTCGCCCATGCTCGAGCTGTCGTCGATGAGAAAAACCTGTAGCCAGGGTCAGAGAATGAACAAAGGTAGAAGAGAGATGTCATACGTGATCTCGCTCTTTTAGCTCACCAAGCAGTTCGTTCTCGAAGGGTAGTGGTATTTCCTTCCGTCGCGAGAACACTTGCTTCGACGCTTCACGAGTTTGGGCAACCCACTGCATCAATTCGTCAACGGATAAGTATCTTGCTGGTTCGCTCGCGGCAAGTTCGTGAGGTTGCCTCTCGTCCGCTACTCGTTCTTTACCCTTGGTTGTGCTGCTATCAGGCAGTTCGGGCAGTCCTGCTATGTCTAACGGCTGGGCTTGGAGGTTCGACTCAGGACGGCTATCGTGGCCCGCTATTACCTCTGTAGGCATAGTCTGCCTTCGGAACAGTTCGGCCGGGATGGCTTCTGTAGGCTCATGTCGGATCGCGACGCTGCCTCTGGTTGAAAAGGGGGACCGCTCGATGGACAAGCGCTGTGCTGCGCTCTGGGGCGATTTGTGACCAGATTCCTCTGTGCCCGCTGATGTGGTTCGAGTGTGGACAGAGAGATAAGACCGGCGATGATAGTCAGGCGTCGACCGGGCCGAGGCTCGGTTGCTAAACGGTGACCCCAGAGGCTGAAGACTGTTTGGACTTGGCGTAAACCTGCCAGAATGACCGTCGTCTTCGCTTGAACGTAGCACGGTTCTGTGCCCATCTGACGGAAGCCGCGGCTCACCGTTGGCTCCTTCTTGCGATTGCTGATGTCGGTACTCGGGGGGGATTTGCGGTGGCGTGCGCGGCGGCGAGGTGCCCTGCTGTGTCGCTGCCGGTGTAGGCTTTTCTGTTGCTCGCGACGGGGCGAGCTGGTCGCTGGCTTGTTTGATGATCTCTTGACAATCCATAACGACTTGCTTTGATTGCAGTCGATACTCTGAAGGAGCAAACATTCGGCGGAGGAGCTCCTTCCAGATAGTCGGCGTTATGTGGTCTTGGGTTGCACAGAGGCTTACCGAGCGCGTGTGCCACTCCTCTACCGTTGCGAGCAGATTTCCTTTTCTGTCATGGAAGCAGGCACCGAAGGATGTGCACACGTCCTTGTGGGTTTGTCTCGCATCCCGGTATGCCAACACGCCGTAATCTCTTCCGTGGTAACCGCCGATGGTCCAGACGTGGAACTCGCTGATGATACACGCAAGTGACCATGTGTCGATGTTTTGCTTCACCCTGGGCTTGAAGTTGCTTGGCGAACTGGTCGCCAGATTCCGCTCGGGTGCACCTGTCAAAGTCAGCAGCATCCTGTGTAATGGAAGGTTTACGCCGTACTGTAAGCCTGCGAGCCTCCTCTGCCCTCTCTGGTTGTACTGCCATCGCCCTCAACTATGGCAGAGAAATGGCTTAAACCAAGGTCTGCGACCATGAAGTGGACTTCGTAAGGCCTGTCCTCGATATCGCCCACAACGAGGATATTGGCCGGTCTGAGATCATTATGCCATCTGATGCAACAGAGTTAAATCCAGGTTTGAAGGGGGAGGGGAGAGGCCGGCTTCGTCACACTCACCCTCGGAAGATCTGTGGGCGTCCTGTGTTACCGTCGCCTTCACGCTCGTGTATCTGGACGACCGCGTTGCAGACCTCAAAGACTTTGCTCCACAAGGTCGAGATATCATGTCCCAATTTGGGAGGTTCTACCTTCTTCCAATAGTCTTCCAGCGTGCCGACGTTGGCATACTGTAGGATGATGTGACGATTTTTGCTCTGCGTAAAAGCACCATAAAAACCGATCAGGTTCGGCGCAGGCTCGCCAGAGTCGTTGAGCCTCCTGAAGGCCTCCACCTCTGCGTCATAATAATCTTTCGGTCTGGGAAGGTCATTATCGCCGTTCGGATCACGGTCATCGGCCGCGGTCGGGTAGTACGACTTGAGGGCATATACGTGTGGGATCTGTCCAAATTTGTGTAAGTAGCTGTGGGTAAAGCAAGCGTGGGGTTGTCAAAGCACGATGGACTCACACTCTGTGGAGCCTGGCCACGATCTAGTGCGTCGTAATCCCCGTGGACGACGATCTTGTGTACCGAGGCGCTTGAGCCGTGTCTTCTGTCCAACCTCTCGGATAAAAGGATTGGCAGGATGCGGTCATCCTCGAATACTACGGGGTCGAGGCGATACTTTAGGGGAAGGACACAAAACTCCCACTGTTTCTGATAAAAGGCCTCGAAGAAAGTTGTGTTGTTGGCGATGACAGGAAACAGGTGTGCCGCCTCTCGGCGGAAAGGTAGTGCGCCATCTTGCAGGTTGGCTTGGTGAACAAAGTGGTCGATATATTGCGACTGCCCAATAGAAGCCAGGATTGAGAACACCCTGGGGCAATCACTGGCGACTGTGCGATAGTCTGGGCTTTTGCATGACCTTTGAGTGGCCGCCGCCACAAGTTCCCTCACGCGCTGCGCGTCGTCGTGTCGCGTGCAGTCGAAGTACGTCTTGACCGCACGCTCAGGAAAGAAGCGGCGCGTTCGAGGCCTGGACCCGGCGTGGAAGGTGATGCCTTCGCAGCTGTGTTTGTTCAGGAATTGCAGAAAGGATTGGATGGTCTCGTGGGTGTTTGGGTCGTTGACTTGAGCAGGAAGCGGAGTGTCTGGCAGCGGCGCCATCCGGTCAGTTGGTCTGTCGCGTTACAATGCTGCCACACGCAACAGACGCAAGAGGGCGAGCGCGGCCGTGTGAGAAGCTGGTTGGCGGTGCTTGCAGGATGCGTCAAATGAAGCAGAAGACGAAAGGAAGGTCGAAGAGAGAGTTGTTGGGTTTGGCGCAGCCTACTGGGTATGATTCTTCCTGTTGATGCCAGACCAGGGCCAGCCTCATCTTCAGTACTAGAAGCCCAAAGGCAGCCTATCCAAAGTCCTCCAGTCCTCACCCGCGTAGCCTCCTCAAGCTATCTTCAGGTGGATATCGAGTATGACCTATTCGCCTAGGTGCAGCACGATCCCCGTCTCCTCTTGCACTGCGGGATTGTGGTAGGTGGCGGCCACCCTCTGGAGACGACAAGCTCACGAGCCCGGTGGCTTCTACTCGTAGGCTGAGAGCTGAACCTGCAGCCACTGATGCATGGTGTTCGGTGAGTGGACGACGGTTCGTGTCTGTGGACAGGGAACGTTACACAGCACCCCACCATCTTTCCATCTACTGGACACGCTGTGTCGTTTGGGCTCCTGCTTGGGCAGCTTCGAGAAAGCCTTGGGCAATAGCCTGGTATCTGGTTCGCGTGGTTCGCGCCATACAGTCGCACACCACTGCCGGGTATGAGGCTTATGCCCAAATGCTTGCCTTCCCAGCGGAAGCCTGACGCCCAAGTCTCTTGGACGACAGCACGAAAGGATTGGGCCCTGGGCCGAACCGACCGCCATTCGATCAATGAGACCTGCGGAGAGCCGTATCATCGACAAACCGCTCGATATTTCCAGTCTTGCCAACCGACGTACGACTGGATCCTGCATACACAGTACACCATCAGCGTACCTAGTGTATGGTCAGAGCCGGGCGCATGCCCTACAGGATGCGCTGTGTAGAGGACCCTATAGTTCGAGCCACTGTACAGTACCATGCTCTGGTTGCCTCGAATGCTGGCCGTCGTCAAAGTGAGGGAAAGTCGGGGTCTACATGTACACAGCGATTCACTGCCAAGATCACAGCGTAAGGTAGAATCCCAAATTATAAGTCCACGGAATGCTTCTCAGACTGAAAACCCACGCATTATCCAGCGGGCTACCCACGCATGCCTCGTTACACGTGTGTCGGCCATGAAATTAACACTAGATAGCTACCGTGAAACACACACGAGTACACCTAATCGCAAAAGGCCTCCGAGGCGTATACCTGAGCGACCAAGCAGCAAGCTGCGCTACTGTGATTTCCACAGTTGGCCAGTCAGGCTCTACGCTGCCCGACGCAGCGCCCACCAGTAAAGAGCGCACCCGGACGCAAATGTGGGCACCATCAACGAGAAGGTAACACAGAGGAAGAGCTTGACTGCACCGAGCGAGGTTCTGCCCGACCTGATGGTCGAGTCTGATCTGTCGTATTGAACCATGTCGGTCGACATCATGGTGGAAACAAAGGTCGCCGGCAGGAAGAATACCGTGACTACGGTGATGATTCGCATCAAGACGGTTTCGAACGTCGTCTTGAATGTCATGTCTCGCATCTTCTGCGTCATGTCCTCCATACGCTTGGCAGATGCCCGCGCTTCCAGGGCGAACGTTTTGTTGGCTTGCATGCTCTGATATTCCAGGATCCCGTAGAGTAAGTTCTTGTACTCCGCAATCAGCTTGGAGATGATATCAAGCCGGTCAAGGTGCATCTGCAGATCGTTTCGCACCGATTCCATCCGCTTCGAGAATCGATGCACCGATGTCTGCATGCTTGTTCGCAACGCAGAATCCAGGTCTTGTGATTGGGCAAGCCGTCTGTAGAAGGTGTCGATTTGGGAGAGGACAAGGAAATTACTCTTGAACACAAGAATAGCGTCACTGACGTGACTCTCCAAGTGCTGGGCTTGCTGGAGCTCGTCAATCTTGTACGCATGCTGTTCCTCGTCTGGCTGTGCAATCCGATATCTAGGATCGTATTCTGGAGGCAGGTGGGGTGGATCTCGGTACCCGACAGGCACATTCACAGCGATGCTGGACGGTAAAGGCTGCGATGGCTGAGGCACCGACCCAAGCGTGGACTTCTGAGAAGCGGCAGTGTTTGTGCGGGTGCTGCCGTGTCGTAATGTCCAGCTTCTCCCCGGAGTCAAGTTGCTCATTGGTATACCAGCGGCGGTGGTGGGCATGATGTCGTCGGTCGGGACGAAATTGCTCACTTTATCTGCCTCAGCGCGACGCCTGATGGTTTGCAGATTCTCCTCGATGTCGCTGAGGTACCTTCTGCAGGTCTCTGCGCACCACTCGACGACTACAAGGTGATTGGTAAGCGTGTTGGCGAATTTATTCGACAATGTTGTAAAGGCACTTGGATCCCTGGACAAGATCATATCCGACGCCTCCTTCAGACGTTCACGAATAACGTCGTTCGCTTTGATCGTGATCCAGGTCGCTTGCCCTTGCTGTGCGTCGAAGGCATGGAACACGACCGTCTGCCGACATGACCATGGCCATTGCAAACCCTCCTTTCTCTCAAACGATTTCAGGTTGTAGCAAATTTGGTAATCCTGGCCCGACCGCTCGAGCTCCGTGATCTTCTGTCTCTGGAGAGTCGTTTCGAGCCGGCAATCCTCCCGGAAGCCGCTGAACTGCGAGTCCACCGGATACAGGGACTCGCCAAAAACAAACAAGAACTCCAAAAAGCTTGGGAGAACTTGAAAGACCGAGAAGATCCACTGTGACATGGCAAGGCTGATGTACAACGCCCGTCGCGCGTTAGGGGCCCCGACAAAGACAAAGGTGCATGGCTTGTCCTTCTGCACATGGGTGGTAGAGCCTGCGAGGTGACGCTTAAGCTCGGGAAGGGAGGTGGAAAGATTGCCGCCAAACGATCTTTGACACTCATCGTAGTAGAAAAGCTCCACTCGAGCATCTGGCTCCGGGCGAAATAAGGTGTTCGTCTTCTGAAGTAGTCGTCGTTTGTAGTCTTGAAGGAGAGATGGACATACAGACCCACTGTCCAACAGATTCACGGGATAATCGGCCGCACGATCGCACGAGGCTAGGAAGGCTGCAAGTGCCATTGTATCCATTACCAGGCTCCAGCCATGAAAGACCACAACCTAATCTTCAACAAGAAAGACGAGTGGTATATAACAAAGTGACTGAAGCTCCAGCCCGGGTCTGAGCCACCATATGCGGAGCTGAGTTGCGAGCATCCAGCCCCGCAACTCGACCAGTCTGCCTCGAGGCCCCAACCCCGGCCAGTGGAGGGCGTGGTCACCACCACTGCCTTGGCCATGAGAGAGGCTTTGCCTCACCATCATTCTGACTCGGATCATGCATGAGGATTTTGTAACAATAGTTTCTCTCGCTATAGCCGGAGATAAGCGGAAATCTAGCAGAACAGGCGCCGACTTACCACGGTCAGATCACGAGGCACCCAGAACTGCCAGGTCGATGCCCTTCGCTGCGTGCGCTTGTGAGTCTGTAATCGTCTCGAGTGCAGGGGTGCTTCAATCACCTCGACAAAGAACTTCCAATTCCCAAATTTGGCTCTTAACCTCGATTCGAGGATTTCTTTGGTAAGTGGCTCATAGTCAGGGATATCGTTCCATCGCCACTCTGCATTGGCATAGTCAGCCATGTTTTGCATTGGACTCACTCGAGTCAGGCAACCTGACATAGCGATTTGGAGGAAGTCCAGAGGCTGACTTACCGCAATGCTGCGGCTGCAGAGATCTGCCCTTTTAATCAATAGAGAGGACAGCTTCACTTGCGCCGGCCAGGAAGAGCCGCAACCCTGGACAGGACTGGTCAAAGAGCAGTGTGAATCAGCCAGGAATGTCGCGAATCCCTACACACCGGTTAGCCATGTTTGAATCATTGGCCGCTTACCCCTCTTTCACAGTGGCGGCCGTCGGCGACTGAAAGCACCGCGAGTCTGCCATTGGCAGTGGCGCACCAGTATTGTGTAACCAACCATACTCTCGACTCTTCAGCAGTATCAGATAACCACAGCCCCATGACACAGACTTTGGATTGTGCGCGGCTCGGCTCGTCAAGGGAATCACTCCGCCACCCAAGCAAGATCGGACGTGATGAGAAGGCACAGAGTGCAGGTCGCAGCAAGGTTGCACGGAAGCAAATGGAATGCTAGATGTGCATGGCGCATTGAAGCAACTGTCCACGGGACTCGGGTCGGGCGTCAAACGTCTCAGACAGATGATTGGTAAATGGTCGAAAGGCTTGCAGCTCCAGCCGGTTGGCTGCCTTCCAGGCGAGCCACGAACTCATAGAAGTCGGCTCCTCAGGGCCAAGGATATTTTCCAGTTGCTACCACATTGTCCCCCAGGCGCAGGGTATTCAGCACTAACTGGCGTTACCTGGAAGCTGAAGATCGAACTTTGAGGCAATGGACGGGAATTGGGCATTTCTTACTCCACCATTGTCCAATAGTCGGATGCAAGTGATATAGCACACTACTGTGTCCAAGATGAAAGTCAGATACAAAGCTTAAGCCGACGACAGACAGGCACGACAGCAAGCGCAAGGACTGTCATTTCGAGAGCGGCACACGGGGCTTGCCAGGACAGATTTACTCTTGTGGGTGACCGTTCGTCCAGTGCACAAGACGTTAGTCAGTAATGGACTAAAAGCGGCGCCAGGGCTGCTGAGTGCACTCACCACTTGAATCGCCAAGCGAGAACTTCACGTGACCATCCACAATCCAAACACCTTCCAGATCACTTCACAAAATCTCAGAGCTCATCAACTGGTTGAAGAACCGCAGATGTAAGTTCCCGAGCTCTAGTCTGCACCGGTCTGGATACCCCATGCTTGCGAACATTCAAATCTCAGCTTCATACAGGCACATATTCTGCCTGTAAATCCAGGTCAAATCCCGCTAACGGAATCCAGCTGATTCACCATGTCGAACCCAAGAATAGAAGAGCTTCCAGACGAAGAGCCCGACAAGAAGGCAGCAGCTGAGGACGCATCCAGCTCGTCCGACTCCGAACCTGAAGCGACTGGTGAAGGAGACGCAAACATCCCAGCTGGGGCTTCAGTCGCAGTCCACAGCCGAAACGAGAAAAAGGCACGAAAGGCAATTGGCAAATTGGGCTTGAAGCATGTTCCGGGCATCACACGGGTGACACTGCGAAGACCAAAAGGGGTGAGTCGCTTGCTGCAGGATCAAACTAGATGATCTCCCTGGGCGCTGGTTGCGTGCAGTTTGCGTATCGAAGCAGTTGGCTGATATGATCCTACAGATCCTCTTCGTGATCTCCAACCCTGACGTCTACCGCTCCCCAACCAGCAACACCTGGATGTAAGCTTCGAAATCCCCCCTACTCAGGTACATGACCATCTAACAAAGCTGGCAGTATCTTTGGCGAAGCCAAGATCGAAGACCTCAACTCGCAGTCCCAAGCCGCCGCCGCTCAACAGCTCGCTGCTGCTGAAGCTGCCAACGCAGACCACTCCGGCCACGATCACGCACATGAGAACGGCAAGGGCAAGGCAGTCGAGGACAAGAAGGCGGACGAGGAGGAAGACGATGACGAGGAAGTGGACGACAGCGGCTTGGAGGCTAAGGACATCGAACTCGTCATGACCCAGGCGTCAGTGTCGAGGAAGAAAGCTGTCAAAGCTCTGAAGGAGAACGGCAATGACATAGTCAACTCTATCATGGCGCTGAGTGTATGATCAAGAGGGTCAGGGCGTTGCAAAAAGTTGTGTTGACTGATCTGCATCGGTCGGTGAAAGGATCGTCCACGTCACGAATATGATGTGTCCAGCTACGCCGAACCTCGGCGAGGTGCCCACAAAGCGTGCATACAGGGAGGAATATGCTTTAGATGAGCGAAACGAACAAACGCTTTTCTACCAAGTCTTAGTTGTAAAGCCAATCTGCAACTGCTACTGCAGCGCTGCTATAGTGGAGAAAGACTTCCTCGGTAGGTGTGAAGCATTCAAGCAGAAGCGAAGTCATCACCAGAACCAGGACCACAACCAATTCGGACGATTCCACGTGACCGTGTCCAATCCTCAACACGTGACCAGCACCGAACTTCGCCGGAGCTCAAACCTCAGGGACGTAACTTGATTCTCAGACCCAATTCAACCACCCACACTCCCCTCACACCAACAACACCTCTACATACCCTCAAGATGGCCGCTCCGGTAAGTCCTGCAGCTCGATTCCCTGTCATGAACCCCCTCTGCAGCACAGAAAAGCAAATTGCTGCTTCCCGTTGGACTGACACCTCAATCTTTTCCCCCCTGCCAGACCCGCGCAGCAAGCAAGCTCGACTGGTCCAAAGTCGGTACCCAGCTCGGCCTCCGCGGCAGCACGGCGACCTCGCTTGCCAACTTCAAGAAGCGCCACGACGACGCCCGCCGCCGCATGCAGGTCCTCTCCGAGCAGCCCACGAGCGTCGACTTCGGGCACTACCGCTCCGTGCTGAAGAACACGGCCGTCATCGACGAGATCGAGCAATACTTCAAGAGCTTTCAGCCCAAGACGTACGACGTCAACAAGCAGATCAAGGCCATCGAGGCGTTCGAGCAGGTCGCGGTCAAGAATGCCGAGGAGACAAAGGACAAGGTGGCGGTCGAGCTGCGGAGCCTGGAGAAGGCGCTGAACGACATCGAGGGCGCAAGGCCGTGGGAGGAGACGACCGTGGACGAGATCGCCAGCGCGGCGCCCGAGATCGACGAGTATACGGCCAGGTTGGTCAAGAAGGGCCGGTGGATGCCGCCCGGGTACCAGGTACGAGTTCCTGCTTTCTTTCTCTATCCCGTGCTTTGTGGTCTCTCCCGCGCAGAGGATGTTTCTACAAAATCGAACTACAAGTGGCTGACACTTTCCCCTACAGGAGAATTTCCCCAACCTTTCGGTATTGTAAGCGCTACGGTGTTATGGCATGGTGGGTGCCAAAACTCAAGCAGAGGCGGTGGTGGCCGGGACGGCGTGTGGCGGCGCGTGCAGCTGGCAGCGCGGCAGGCAGCCGGTGGAAAACCCTTTCCTCGACATCAAGTTCCATGCTTTGGCCTGTCCTCCAGAGCTGTGTGTATAGTGGCTTAGACTCAAAACATCGAACCAACCAAGATTGCAAGGAGATGAAGCTCGTTCGTCGTTTTGGTCCTTGCATCCGTCGTGTGTCTGCCACCCAGCATTCAAGGTGGTCCCATGCTCGATCCGTGGCTTGACGTCCCGTACCCCTGATCTATCAGGTGATTGTTATGCAGATCTGGTCAGATGAGAGGGAGAAGACAATCCGATTGTCGAAACGAAGGACATCCAGGACCAGGAAGGAATTTGATTCCCAAACTCCAACTACGACTCTAGTTCCAAGTATAGTTACAGAAGACTCGATCCGGAATCGGTTCGAAACTACTCCGTACAGGTGAGAAGAACAAGGAGACAAAGTAAACACGTCATGTGCTGCTTGCTTGCTTGCTTGCTTGCTCGCTCGCGACTACCACCGCAACTCAATACCCGGGAATCTCACGTCTTCGCAACCCGGAATCCTCCTGATGAAAGATGGCATTCTGATTGTACGTATCCCACGCGTTACACCCCTGTTGGAAGTCCTGCCCGATCCCCAAGTTCGGGATCTGATCCGCCTGCTCCAAGAACTGGGCCGCGAAACCGAGCCCAACGTGCCACGCAATGTGGCAGTGCATGAGCCAGGCGCCAGGATTGTCCGTGATGAAGGCGATGACGAGATAGCCCGAGGCGGGCAGCATGGCGACGTCGCGGCGCGGCGGGTTCTTGTAGTTGAGGGTCTGGCTGTTGTTGTAGATGCCCGTGCCGGCGCCGAGGACGTAGAAATCGTGGCCGTGCAGATGGATCGGGTGCGGGATCGGAGGGGCGATGGTGGGCACGGCCTGAATCACCCAGTACGACCAGGCGTTCTTGCCCGGCAGGGTGATGAGGTTCATCTCCGGTGGGTAGGTGGTATTCTTGTTGAACACGTATTCCAACGTGGGTCTGTCCCATTCGACGCTCATGGCGGTGAAGTTCAGGTTCCATTGGAAGAGCGTCTGCTGCGCCGTGTTTTGCACAATGGCAAATCCCACGTCGAGGCGCGACGATGCAGGAATCGTGTAGTTACTTGGGACGTCGAGTTTGACGTACGGGATGAGTTTGTCGTTGGGGTCGTTGCAGTCCGAGGCGGCCGCGCCGGTGGGTGCGTTGGAACGAGTGGCGTTGGGAGGCAGGCCCGTGGAATTGGCCCCTGCGTAGGAGAAGATGGCCAGAGCGTTCTTGTTCAGGTTGCTGCTACAGCCGGTGATGGGCACGACGTGGAACCAGTAGTTGTCGATGGGTTGGTTGGCTTCGACGATGACATCGTGCCGCTCGCCGATGCCGAGGAACAGCCACTGTGTTGTAAAAGGCTTGACGGGGACAAAGTCTGCGGTGATGACGGTGAAGTTGTGGCCGTCGAGGCTGACTTTGAAATTGTCGTTGGTCGACGTGTTGATCAGTCGGAGGCGGTACTTCTTGCCCTTGGTGATAGTGGTGCGGCTGTATCGTCCCTGCGTGCCGTTGAGATTCACATTCGTCCCGTTGATCAGGATGTTATCGCCCGCCGGCGGTCCACGTGGGAACCCGCCCGTCTGGATTAAAGGCCCAAGCTCGAATGCTGGCCGGTGATAGTAATCGGTAATTGGGAAAGCGCCGAGATCAAGGTCGTAGTTGGACGTGGCAGGCCCATTTATGATCATTGTGCCAACGACCCCGTCGGTGTATTGGCTTGAGAAATGGCTGTGGTACCATGTCGTGCCAAACTGCGTGCACAAGAACTCGTATGTGCGTGACTGGCCCGGCGCAATTGGGCATTCAGTCACACCGCCGGTGCCATCCATGTGGTTCGTCTTCCATTGACGCAGACCGTGCCAGTGTATGCCGGTACCGTTCGTGGTAAGGCTGTTTTTGACGTGAATCCTCAGCGTGTCTCCCCAGTTGGCGGTTATGGTAGGTCCCGGGAATTGGCCGTTGATCACGTAGAGCTGTCTCGAGAATCCATCGAGGGACATGGTCGCGTTCTGGATGTCAAGGAAGTACTCGACTACCTTGCCAGTGTTCGGCCATACGGCATCGTAGTTGGTAGCGATACTGTAGCCATTGCCCCAACACGCCCGCGTGAATGGCCCGTGTGTGCATTGCGAATCGGCCTTTTGAGTAGGGGTCGGTGCAGTACTTGACGTCGAGGACGCCTGCCTGCGTGCGAGGCTATTGTCAATCTGTACCAACTCAGCAGAGGGTATATAGGCTGCGGTAGCCTGGTGCAAAAATAACAAAACGAGCGACAAGAAGAGCAGCATAGCGAATGGCTGAGGATGAACCTCTGGAACGAGCTGAGAAACAACGAGCGACGGAGTGTAGAATGAGGAAGCAGAGAGCACCCGCGAGACATCCAATATAAAGAAGATGGGGATTTTGTTAGAGTCGTGACTCTCTCCCTTGCCATGGCACAGGATCCATTCTGGAGCCGCATACTCCTTCATTGTGGATGATCGAGGTCGAAAACGTGGTACGCGCGAGATTTCGTCTGCGTGTCTTGGACCCTTAGCTAGTTACGCGGCTTGTTGTCACACAGAAAGGGACTGCGGCATGTCGTGGGAACCACTGAGATGGAGGTATCTGTCCAAGCTCATCTGGCACAGCCATATTCGGATGCGAAGGAGTCGTCGGCTGCAAGAATAGACCGAGACAGGACGCGCAACGCAATTTCGGTACAATACGACGGCTTCTATTGTTTACAATCCAGCTGTGAAGAATGCCTTGGGGACCTGAGAGGCGCTGGTTCAGATTGAAACGGGCAGAAGCATAGAGTGGCCAGAACAGCGGTGGTTGAAGAGCCATGAAGATGTTGGATGGCCGTCTTCTCCTTCCGTAAACGGCTTGGCCTCGAACCACCCCCCTGTCGACCCCTGACAGTCAGCACGTTCCCGCTGCTTACAAGGGCATTGTCATCTCTGCTGTTGTTGACCCCCTCGCGTCATCCGGCCGGCTTTGATATCGGGCTGCAATTCCAATTGTCTATGCTCCTTGCAGCTTATAGCCACCCAGCAGCTAGCCTGGACCTTGTAGAGTCTCGCTACAGTGGCTTGATGCTGTACCTCCTCAACTAGACGAGGTCTGTTGTTACTTTGATTGGAACTCTCTTAAGTGACTCGTGTCACGCACCGTAGCGACATGCTTCGAGGCAGGACAGAACCAGACACTTGGTTTCCGGGCAGCACAACATCGATGGTCAATACATACTCGGCACGGCGGCAATAGCAGCGCGGTAGCGGCCGAGACAATAACATTGTGAAGAAGCCTCTTGTATCAACACTCTGGGCGATCCATTCCTCGACCTTTTCAGTCTGTGCTCATAGTCTTGATTCGGAATATGGGCTGATGTCTCAGCCTGGCTTTTACCAAAGCGAGAGTCCATGGATGCGTGGCTGTCAAGCCAGCAAGGCATTTTGTCTCAGTCACAATGATGCTGCTGCGAAGGGGCTGACCCTTGATCTCCGCTACCATCGACGAGCCTAGCCTTGCGGTCTCCGTCTTCATATAGGACGATGGCTTCTGTCTCCCGCTGGCATCTCCCACATCGCCTTTTGGTCCTGTATCTCCAGAATGCATTCCTCAGCCGCCTTTGTCTTTGCGTTGCTTGCTCTGTCAGGCCGCAGTGCCGCAGACTGCCTCTCATATGGCTATGACTTCGTGGATGGCGGAGGACCCTATTGTATCAACACGACGTCGACATCATACTTCACCTTCGGCACGGAGTTCTTTGGTAAGCTGCCAGCCCGTGCAAAGGCCAGTCTGCTGGCATCTGACAATGACAAGGCTGCCAGCCAAGCGATGTCCAGGATGCGGTCACGCCGATTCTCATTGACCCCAATGGCGATGAGTACTTCTGCTCCGATATAGGAGTGCAGCCTGATGGACAAGATATGGTGTCGATATGGTAAGCCATGGGATACCTTGTGCACATCCGACGCTAACACCCTCAGTAATGTCGCCGGGAACGAATTGACCAGGAACAACATGTTCTCGGGAACGTGGACTGCCATTATGGAGGGCTTGACCTTCGCATACATGCGGTCATTCGCGATCATTGCCGCACCACCGGTGACAGTAACATCCACGCCTACTGCCACGTTCACGGTCACGACGACGCCTTCTACGACGATAACTTCGACCATCACCAACGTTTTCTCAACCACTGCGCCTGCTTCTACCGTCACTGTCCCCACAAGCACCTCGACCCGGACCATCACGACCAGCCCGGCTCAGACAACGGTATACTGGACCTCGACCTCAACACGGACGCGCACCACGAGGGTCTTCTCCAAGACCGTTTCCACTACTACCGTCACCACCTCGTGCCAGACTCAAACACCTTCGAAGGATCCAGTATGTACCATCCGGCCCACCAAGGCTACCCTTGCAGCAGCCGCTTCGACAATCAGCATGGTTCCTCGGCAATGGACAAGGCAGTTCCAGAGGCCAGGAAATGGCCGCAGCGGCTGGGGTGGCTGGGGAGGTCACAGGCTGGCTATGCATCGACGAGATGATACCGGCGCTCCGGTTGATACTGGTCCAGGTACGGTCTGCCGTGCTTTGACACCCCAGCAGATGCTGATGACTATAGATATGTGTACCACGACGGTGGTCGACACTGCAAAGGCTGTCTCATCGTACACCACTGTCACAGCACCCACAAGCACCGAGATTGATACCGAAAATGCGACAACCACCACCACTATGTAAGTCACCGAAGATTGTGTGCTAGCCGTCGCTGACCTCGGTGCCAGTACGCCGCCACCGGTCACGGCTTACAGTGGCAAGGCGAAGACCACGGTCACCATCACGGCTCCAACGCCCACACGCACACGCACTGCTCGCACGTACGAGACTGTTTGGACAACCTCCACCGTATGGGCAACGTAAGTAGTACACTGGCCTCCTTTCCGAGGCGCCTGGCTAACGTCACTCTAGGATCACGTCAACTGTCAAGACACCGCCGTCGGGATGGGTGTGTGCTACTACTGCAGCACACTGATCGCATCATTTCCAGCTTGTAGAATATTCGTGTTGTAATGGAAGCCTCAACGCAGCAAATAAACCACAATTTCCTTCTGAATGAGATGGCAGGAAGTCCTCGCTCGGCTGCTGCGAATTAATTAGGTGTTGGTGTCGTTGTCGTGGGCGCCAAGGCAGACGCGCCACGCGCCAAAGATTGAAAGGCCGTGTCACTTTCACTTGATTTAGTTGCTTCACTTGATCCTCCATCGCGCGAGCACCCGGGCAACTCTCTCTTCTCTTGACGTACATGTCGCCGGCACCACTTCATATGTTATGCCAGTCTGTTGTAGCAAGCGGATGAAGACGGTATGTAGCTCATACCACTCGGCGTCATCGGCTGGCATTAATCTCGTGCCGTCGTCAAACAGCCACTCTCGAACCGGCTCACAGAGAATGATGAGCCCTTTCCGCATCTTTTCCCTGAGAACCCTCCAAGCGTCGCTCTCGAGCAGGTCCCTGGCAACTTCGGGTGGGCCGTACAGCGTTGCGTAGGCGATGGGATCGATCCCAGATCGGTCTGAGACGATGAGGCCACGACGTTCCCGATCGAGTTCCTCGTTGAGTTGCGCGCCAAGCACAAGCTTCTGGAACTCCATTGCTCCTGCGTTTCCTGCTCGGATGTCATCTCTGGTTATGTTGGCTGTGTTCAGGATGCCACGAGCGAGCTCCTTGATGGTGGCGAAGGGCCCGGCCCCCTGGGTTCGGAGCGCCTCAGCCACGTCCTCTACTAAGGTCGTCTTGCCCGTACACTGGGCTCCGATGATATAGATGGACCGCGAACCCTCCATTGCTCAGGGAAGACTCCAGCATACCACAGGATGATAGGCTGAAATGGAGGTCGCCTCATAAATCCCGACATGGAGGGGTGGTGATGATCTGGCAAACAAGGGCCCCTGCACACGCATATGCAGCCACACCTCTCTCCATCACGTGTCAGCCTCCTCTTTGAATCTCTGCTCTGCCTCACCGGCGGATGTCCAAGACGACTTAGACTAGTCGAGGTCAAACCATGGAGCGTATTAAGTATACATTGCAGGAAACCATTTCCATCACGGACTCGGCATGGCGATACAACATCCCCAACCTACCCAAGGCTGAAACCTGCCATCAGGCTGGACGGATCAAAGCCGTAACGCTAATCTGTTCATCTTCAGACCAGGGTATCTACCTGCGTTGGAGTCCTACTCCAAAGAATCGTGCCACTCGAGAACATCGCCTTGAGGATCTGATCCAGGTCAGCATATCAGACTTTCGGCCGGTATACGATACCCGAGATCCATCGCTGCCCGCGACTCCCAAACAGACCGTCGATTACCTTACAAGATTCCTAACGGCTGGCATCATCATCAATGACATACGATACTCGTTCTTTGGACACAGTAATAGTCAACTCAAGTCGCGCTCCTGCTACCTCTTGGCGGGTACAAAGGAAGAGGTGGGCAAGAAGGTTGAGGCCTTGGGAGACTTCAAGAAGATCAAGACCGTGGCGAAGAAGGCGAAACGTATTGGCCTGTTGTTCTCCACCACTGACGTTGTGCAAGACGTGCCGGCTAGTAGGTGTCAAGACATTGACGATGTTGAAAGAGATGGGTTCATATTCACTGACGGATGTGGCCTTATTTCGAAAGATTTCATCCGTTTGCTTGCCAGTAAGAAGCCTATTATCTTCCGAGATCGCCGGTACCATCCCTCCGTGCTTCAGATCCGATACAGGGGCTATAAAGGCGTCGTCACCCTTGAACCCCGTATAGAGAAGGGTCTCTGGCTGAAGCTACGGAAGTCGATGAAGAAGTTTAGTGGAACGACTGATATGAGTTTTGCTGTCGTGGAATACTCCAAGGTGAAGCACTTTCCCTACCCCCCAATGCAATATCTAAATGACCACAGCCTTACACCTATGGGTATCTGAACGACGAGATCGTGCTTCTGCTCCACTCTCTCGGTGTCGAAGCGGCAGTCTTCATTGAGAAACTGAGACAATACCACGACGTTTTGGAGCAATCGCGGACTGACCCTAGATGTGCTTTTCGGCTCCTGAGCTCTCTTGGCCAGGCTTCTCAGGCCGAGAAACTTCTGATTGAGGGCATGGAACAGGCCGAATCCGGCATTCGAAAGCTCCTGGCACAAGAGTATGACAAGATGGTCAACAAGCGCGAAGAACAAAAGACGCGGATCTTGATCCCGAGGTCGCGACTCTTGTTCGGAGTATGTGACCCATATGGCGTGCTCAAACCAGACGAATGTTTCGTGCGTGTGACGCTAGAGCAAAGCGGAGCTCCCATGACCATCACCGGGGCGAATGTGCTGATCTCGAGGAATCCGTGTCTCCATCCCGGTGACCTTCGCAAGCTGAAGGCTGTCGAAAACCCGAAACTCAATCATCTCGTAGACTGCGTGGTCTTTTCCACACAGGGGAAAAGACCCACCGCTGACCTGATGTCGGGGGGAGACTTGGACGGCGACACGTGTAAGTGATGGCTCACGTGGAAACTTGCCACTGACCCGAGCCAGTCTTTGTGTGCTGGGACCCGGACTTGATTCCAGAGACTCTTTCTGAAGCAGCCGAGTACCCCGGAACGAAGGAGGCTATCAGATTCTCACCTATCACAAGGGATGATCTGATCACGTATTTCGCCGGCTACAACAACATGTCCCTCGGCCGAGTCAAGAAACTATATCTTGGATGGGCACGCGTCTCAGGTCCCCATTCAACGCAGTGCCAGGAACTAAATCGCCTGTTTTCACAATGTGTTGACGGCAATCGGATCAAAATCCCCGATCGTTTACTTGATCCTCCTGAAGCTTCACCAGCAACTGGGCCATTCATCCTTGACACGTTACATGAGCTGGCCCTGGAACACTGCCAACGAGTCAAAGCCGCGGTGGCGCCCACCACCGTTGCCAGACAGCGAGTCTCGGATATTGAAGTCCTGGGCAGTGCCGATCGCAATATGATGGAATTCATCCTTACCAGCCCCACTCCTTTCTCGGACTTCGAGTTGGCGCAATTGACTTTGGCTTGGTGTCGAAAGAATCGTGTTCCTTTTGAAGAGTTTTGGACCTTCTTCGATAGCACGAAACTCGCGGCTGACGAACAGGCTTGGATTTTGTCAGAACTGCCCCCTTCGGCCGAATACGCGTCTTTCATGAAGAATGGCCTCCTTCAATCGAACATTCTCACGTCTGAGGACCTGCGAGCCTTTCGACTCGACTATCAATCTCTGCACTGGAAATGTGTATTTGATTCTGTGTCTGATCCGCTCCGGAAGCTCATGGCAGTCGTGGGACAGACATTCCACCAATTTGCTAAGAAGCTTCTCGTCCTCCGGCTGAGCGAGCGGTTGAGTATCGCAATCTACTTTCCACGACCGATTGAGAAGGACGAAGACAATGTTGTGCATGACACTGTCCGGCTCTTTGCCTTTCCTCATTCACACAAGGACAAGGCCGGACATCGCAGGGCAGTCCCTACAAAGAAGAATTACCGGTTCTACTACGATGAGACCGTCATGCAGCTCTACGAGACTCATCGCAGCAATAGTTTTGTGTTCTTCACCAAGTCTGCAAACGATGACAGCGCCTATCGTAATGTTGAAGGCACAGGCAACAAGGCACGCGCTCGCCAGAAGACAATTGAGGATGGGATCAATTGCGACTGGAGAGTCAGCATAGCGTTGGGCAAGTTCAGTTCACAGCTTGCGACCCATATTGGGCGTACCAACCGAGAGCCTGTTACTGATGCTGTGGGTTACTGATTCTCAGACCTATTCACTGTCTGTTGCTAAAGTGTCATAGGAGCTGTATGTCATCAGCAATAGAGATGTTCGCGCGTTAAGAGCCCTGGATCTGTGGCTTGAGAGTATCGACACCCTCAATGTCCTCTCTAATTTCCCGGACGGACAGCCAACGGACAGCTTGCCCAGCCTCACAGACGTCGATTGGAATCAGCACAGCGACTTCCTTGACCGTGTGGTGAGGCGCAAGGAGTTCGCCATTGTCCTGGAGGCAACGATTCCTCAATTGCTGGAACTCCTTCAATTCTGCTATATGTATGACGTTGTTGATATTGTCTCAGAGGTATATCGCCGTCTTCTCGGCTCAATCGCTGAAGGAGACCAAGACAAACGATGCTCGCCCGACCACGTCAGTCAACTTATCGAGTTCCTTCACTACAAGCCGAGTATGGCGGTATACCTCGCTCGCCTCTGTCCGTGGTCTTTGCTACCAATACCATATATCGCCATTCTACAACGAGAGGTATTCACCATTCTCCGTGCGCTTGTCCTCTCCGGAAACAGGATGGGAGAGCTGGTCCTCGGGCATATATCTGCCATTCTGCGCGAAGACATCTGCTTAGGTCTGGCCGCGGCACGAAGTTTGCTAGAGACTGCATCCATGGCAATCACCAATCCAGACTTGTTGCTCACTATTCTCATGGAAAGCCGCGACGCCGTCGCTCACACAATAAAAGACCATGACTCTCATACTGTTGCATACTTCTTGCGCAACATGTTCGGCATAGTGCTCGATCATTGTGCCGAGGCCAACGAGAGTAATTTATCCAAGTCTGGTTCATGGCTACTGGTACCGGTGAAAGGCTCGAGCGGAAATGTGTCCATGCTGAGAAGCCAGCGACGTATAGACGCACCGAGGCTCTCTAGGCTTGCTGTTGGGGACCATGTACGATTTGTCGCAAAGAAAGAACCCCCAAATTCCAGGGCCACACAGCCTACAACCCTTGACGTACTGGTAGAGGCGGCTTCCGACAACGAGGTCAAATTTGAATGCCTCTGGCAGCCTCCGATATGGGTCGACAAAACTGCTTTCGAGATGAAGTGCTGTGTGCCGTTCGTGGGTGCGAAGGCGATGGCCGAGGCACTCGTAGCTCTATTTCCCACTGGAGATACTTCTTGCGGTATTGCCCAGATTCTACTGAATCCGATGATCGGCTGGACAAGTATGACCCAAACTAGGCCCGTAATCTACGAGCAGACAGTCGAACTGGTTGAGGGATTGAACGAGAGTCAGAGCAGGGCCGTTGTTGTGTCTACGAGTTCTCCTCTTACGTGTCTCTGGGGCCCACCTGGCACAGGCAAGACTACGACAATCATCGCCTTGTTGCGAAGGCTGCTGAAGTTGAATCAGCCCGGAAGGATCCTAGTCACAGCTCCGACGCATAATGCCGTGGACAATGTGCTGCGGCAGTACGTCAAGAAAGCCCTGAAGGCGGATTCAACTTTGGCGCAGCCACTTCGAGTTTCTACGGAGGTATGCGTTTTGCTCTGTATATTGACCAATCTGACCAGTTTCCTCCAGCTGATGAAGGTCGCGGACGACCTGAAAGAATACACGTGTGATGCAATGTTTGGGAAGGATCTCAACCAGCATCCAGCCGTGAGGCGGAAGGCCGTTGCAAGAATTTCCGAGTCGAAGCTGGTTTTCACTACTTGTGTCGGCGCAGCTCTTGGTCTACTTCGCAACCAGTCTTTTGAGACAGTCATCATTGATGAAGCATCCCAGCAGACGGAACCAGCCTCCCTCATACCTCTAGTGAAAGGTTGCCAGCGGTCGATCCTCGTGGGAGATCACGTCCAACTGAGGGCTACTGTCAGTCCTCATGCAGCTGTTGTGGACTTTGATGTATCCCTTATGGAACGACTGTGGCTGGGGGCCGCAAACACGGCCGACGGCGCCATCGCAACAGCCATGCTGGACACTCAATATCGGATGCATCCCAGCCTCTGCCAGTTCCCTTCCGCAGAGTTCTATGACGGGCGCCTACTGACCGCATCCGGTTGTGATTCGATCCAACCACCGCCGTCGTGCTTCCCTTGGCCTAAATCGCCACCCAACGTCAGGGGTGAGCCGAATCGTTCGAGGCGAGCAGTCTTCATCCAATGTCACGACCCGGAGGATTACGGTAAGAAGTCCAAGGTCAATCAGACTCAAGCCAAGATATGCAAGGAGACATTGCAGTTGTTGACCACGATGCCGGCGGTGACGCAGGCTGCCGAAGGCAAGAAGCAGCCTGAGCCGCAAATTCCCTCGATCGCAATACTGACGCCTTACTCACGACAGGCAGACCTGCTTAAACAGCTTTGCGGAGGGTTCACCGTGTCTAGCATTGACGGATTCCAGGGCCAAGAGGCAGATATCGTGATCTTTGTGACCGTGCGCTGTAACTTGCAAGGAGAGATTGGGTTTCTCAAAGACATGCGCAGGCTCAACGTTGCGCTGACCAGAGCTAAGGCCGGCTTGATCATCATAGGCGATCAGACGACCTTGACGATGAAGAAGGAGCATGAGGAGGCGTGCAAGGTGTGGGATCGCCTGATCCGGTCCTGCGCGAGGGTGGACTTGCCCGCAGTGGTGCCTCAGCGATGATAATGTACTGAAATGAATCTCCAGTTGTTTCTTTTGGTCCACGAAACAGGTGGCGATCCCAACCAAGATGATATACTGTATATCGCCCCCTGGAGGCAGCCGTACGTTGCGGAGCCTGATCGAGGAGATTGGTTGGAGTCACCGAACGCTTCTGACCACCTCTAGATCCCAGGTGGCAGGGCTGGAGCTGCCCTCTAATTGCATTCAGCCATTACTCGCCCGCACACAGAATGTACTTTGTACTCCGTCCCACAGCCAGACTTTTCTCGCGTAGACTGCCTCGACAACAAGCTTCGGCCGCCTAAAAACGAAGGGTGTCCGAGCAGACCAATCAACTCGTGCTCGGAACTTTCTCAACCAATAGGAGCAATGCAGCTGCTCAGCCGGACGGACTATTGCTCCGTGTCTGCTGAAATTCTCCCGCCTTTTACTCCCTCATGCCCCCGTCCATGGTCTACAGTACTGTCGCCTGGACTCGAACCTGGCGCTCAACTTAACGCAACTGTGCGTCGGTTTGACTCTTTCCATGATTGACAGGCCTGTGACCCTCAGCCTCTTCTATCGTGGACGCCTTGCGCATCATGAATCGCTCCGCCGCTGTAACCTGGCGTCCTCAGGTGGGCGAGACTCGCGCGAACATGAAAGGGAGTATCCTGGATATTTTTGTATAAAGTCTGTAGGTGACCGACCGCTGTGGTCTTGCTAAAATCACAGGAAGACACTCCGACAGCAGCAGCAGCAGCAGCCGCGACCGCAACAAAACACAGCACATCCAGTAGACTCAACTTCGACCCGACCCCCGATCCGCATACACGGTCTCAACCCTTTTAACTACCAACATCGAGATCTATCCCACCATGTCCGCCTCTCCAACTGTCGCCTTCTTTGGTGCAACCGGCGGCGTCGCCAACGGCATTCTCATCCACACCCTCCTCGCAGGCCACCGAGCCATCGCCCTCGTGCGCACGCCGCAAAAGCTGCGCGACCAACTCCTCCGCCAGGACCTCGCGCCCGACCTCCTCAACAACCTCACAATCGTGCAGGGCAACGCCCTGGACGTCACGGCCGTGAAGCGCGCCCTCACGGCCCATGGACCCCACACCCTCCCCTGCGTGATTGTGACAGGCCTGGGCGGCGCTCCGGGGTTCAAGTTCCAATGGCGCCGGCCGTTCCAGTTCGCGACGCTCGATGATCCGCACGTGTGCGAGACCGCGGCCGCGACGCTCACGAGGGCGTTGACCGAGATATACGCCGAAAGTGCATCTGCAGTCCATGCGCCCGAGACGCAGCAGCAGCAGCAGGACGGCGGAAAGGACCATTTGCAAAAACCCCAACCCCTACCCCTCTTGACATTCATTTCCACGACCGGCGTCACCAGGGGCCCCGAGGACGTCCCCTTTTGGATCCGCTTTCTGTATCATCAGATCCTCACGGTTCCGCACGCGGACAAGAAGAAGATGGAGGAGATTTACCGCGCGGATGCCGACGCCCACCTCACGCCCGAGCAGAATCGCTTGTTCCGCGCCATTGTGGGCATCAGGCCGACATTGTTGACGCCGCTGGACAACTCGCCGGCTGATTATCGAGATGTGGTGGGGTTGGAAAAGATTCGGGCGGGCACGGAACAGAAGCCGGCCGTAGGGTATAGTATCAAGAGGGGAGATGTCGCGCAGTGGGTTTGGGAACACGTGGTGAGGGAGGCTGTGGAGGGAGGAAAGGGGAAGTGGGAGGGGGAGATGGTCAGTCTTAGCAGTTAGATTTGACTGCCCGTCGAACATAATGTACAATACCAGGAACTGCGGAGTCAGGAGGGGATGGGAGCGACATTACTAGAATCGAGATCTTGACAATTATGTGGTTCACACAGCAAAGTGACAGTCGTCCAGGTCAATTCATTATCATTTCTTCTCTATTAGCTGGGGCAGAGCCGTCGAGACGGTATCGGGTATCGTCGTAGGAAAGGACTAGTGATACAAGGGTACTAAGTGGTATGCAAAGCATAAACGTGATTGATGGCCCGCTCTCCATCCCTGCCGCAGCTCCTTGGCCTCCTCGACGAGAGAGGCACCAGTGCTGTTTATCCAATACTTCTTGCCGTGAGTGGGTTTCTCCTCGTCAGAAAGCCTTCCACGTCAACTCCTGCTTAAAGGCTTTTCGATGTCCGGGAACACCTTCCCTGGTGCTTCCGGATAACCACGGACCAGACTAGACTCTACTCGTTGTGTGAGTCCGTGTACGCGTCGATCTGTGTGTCCGCGTGCGACGACCGCAGGTGAGGCAGGAGATGATGATGTCGAAGAGTGAGACGATGCCGTTGATAATGGCGGTCAGGATCGAGCCGATGCCGTTGACAATGGCCATCAGCACGGAACCGATGGTTCGGCAGATTGATTCGAACTGTGAGAGCGGGTTAGTGTGAGGTCTAGCACCGGGCGAGAGGGTGAAAAGGAGGACATACACAAGAGACGACGGCACCCATTGTGACTGAGCTTAGGATGTTCTGAGATGTTTGGTTGGTGTTGGTTATTGGTGTATGGCTGTGTAGGGGGGAGTTTTTGTTTGTGGTGTCTTGAGTATGGAGTAAATGGTTGGACAAGAGGGTGGACGGGTGAGTATTTGTATGTCTTACAAGGTTGTCTAGAAGCTTCAGAGGGCAGAGTGGGGTACGAGGATGGAAGTGAAGAGCTGGTCGCCTTGGTGGTTTCCCTTTGTTATCACTTTGCCTGACGCCATCGTCATCGCAACCGGCCCATGCATCCTCCTCGTCGGTAGTACGTGCAACATACGCATCACTGCTGCTTGTCTTTCACTCTCGCCTAGTACCACTTCTAACCACACTCAGCCTTAGACGCTTGCATCCAACCTCGTGCTCGTCGTATCCACCAATACGAGCCGATGGGCAGATATCGAGGGAACGCGCATGACGTCGGAGTCCGTCCTTGGTGATCTCAAGGAGCCGGGAATGTCGAATCATACTTGGTAGCGAGGCTGACCATCTCACCTGGCCAACCGACGAGTTTGCGCCAGCCCATGGTGAAATGCCCTCCTGACGGGGTTGTCGTTACGCTAATTCTGCCACTGGAAACAGCCCTTTCGCAATCACGGCAACCAGGAAGGGCAAGGATCTTAGCACGCCACCAGTGAGACGTCAGGTCGGTGTCCGGTTTGGGAACAAAAACTTGGAAGAGCGGCGGATAAGGCGTCGTGCCGACGTCATCTGCTGGCCCGTGCGTCTTGTTGCGCCGACTTATCCTTGTCGATCACCGGAAATAGCTGTGGCGTCTGTGGCGTTTGCCCAGGATCTCGATCCGGGAAAAGTGCGTTTCTGAGTCTTGGTGTGGCTGTCTGTGGCTGTCTGTGGCTTCCTGTGGTTGTCTGTGGCTGGAAATGTTCAGCCGCATGCGTGCCGAGAAAACTGGAGGTGGCGGTGCAAGGAGTTTTCTCCAACGCCAATCTAAGATCGCCGTTGCACAAAAGCATCATGGGAGATGGAAGACGTGCTGGGAAGACGGTTCACTGAGGGGCAGCCGATCGCGGTCTTGCTCTGCTCAGTCCTTACCGTCATTGCATTGGCTCTCGTCTTTGGTGGCTTCCTGTCTGAGAATGCGTTACTTTTGCCGGATGTCCTGGTAAAGGGCAACCCTCCCTCGGTATGGCTGCGCAACAGCCCCGTGTGCTCAGGCGACGGTGAAGACATCAATGCCCAAAAAGAAGAGGTAGGTCTGGATATAACTCACTCATTCAAACAGCATCCGCTTACTATGCGCCCAGGTCTCCAATGGTCGGATCTACCCCCGTTCTCCAGCAGATGGTCATCGCCTAGGGGATCCCATCGATCCAGCAGACGCGTCTCAAATCGATGCCGCCATCTCAGCTGCCGAGAAAGCGCAGAAGTCATGGTCCCAGACCAGCTTCTCCCAACGACGACGCGTTCTACGCACACTCTTGCGATACATCATCGACCACCAAGAGGAGGTCGTGACGGCGTGCTGCCGCGATTCTGGGAAGACGAAGATTGATGCTTGCTTCGGCGAGATACTCGTCACAGTCGAGAAGCTGCAATGGACAATCAAACATGGTGAAAAGGCATTGCGCAGATCGAGACGACCCACAAATCTCCTCATGTCCTACAAGTCCAATTCTGTCGTCTACGAGCCGCTGGGTGTGGTCGCAGCATGCGTGAGCTGGAACTATCCTTTCCACAATTTCATCTCACCCGTCATTTCAGCCTTATTCTCGGGTAATGCAATCGTGGTCAAGCCGAGCGAACAGACTTGTTGGAGCACGAGCTACTTTTTGTCCATTATCCAAGAAGCCTTGCGCTTGTGTGGCCACGATCCAAACCTGGTGCAGAACATCATTTGTCTGCCAGACGTCGCGGATCATCTTACACGTCACCCCAACATCGGCCACATCACTTTCATAGGCAGCAGAGAAGTTGCCCATAAGGTATGTGCGTCTGCAGCGAAGGCGTTGATCCCAGTCACTGTGGAGCTCGGAGGGAAGGATCCTGCCATTATACTCGACGACGCCAGGACGATCCGAGGCATCGATGATGTGGTGTCCATCGTTATGCGTGGAGTTTTCCAATCTGCTGGGCAGAATTGTATCGGCATCGAGCGTGTCATCGCACTACCACACATCCACGACAAGCTCCTTTCTCAGGTTCTACCAAAGATCAAGCTCATGCGACCGGGCTCGGTGCTTGACTCGCCCTCCGACAGCCCACCAGACATGGGCGCCATGATATCCTCTCGCAGCTTTCCTCGTCTCGAGAGGCTTATAGCTTCGGCTGTCGCTCAGGGCGCTATACTCCATTGTGGTGGACAGCAGTATCATCACCCGGAATATCCTGATGGAACGTACTTCGCACCGACACTCCTCAGCAATGTCACGCCGGACATGGACATCGCGCAAACGGAACTCTTCGCCCCCGTCTTCCTGCTCATGAAAGCCCAAGACGTCGATGACGCCATCCGCATTGCCAACTCCACCCCCTACGCCTTGGGTGCGGGTGTCTTCGGGCACAACCCGACCGATATCGACAAATGTGTCAGAGGCATCAAAGCAGGGATGGTCGCCGTCAACGACTTTGGCGCCTACTACGCTACGTCTCTGCCCTTTGGCGGAGTCAAAGGCTCAGGGTACGGCCGGTTCGGAGGAGAAGAAGGACTCAGGGCGCTGTGTAACGTCAAAGCCGTGTGTGAAGACGCTTGGTGGGCCAGACTACTGGGGATCAAGACCAGAATTCCGCCAAAGTTGCAGTATCCCGTTAGTCGGCACGGATGGGAAGTTTGTAAAGGCGTGATAGGCACCGGGTACACGCAGACCTTGAGTCTTGCCGAATGGGCAGGGTGCGTACTGGGCTTGGTGAGGGTGCTGATGCGGTCTGAGGGTGTTCCAAAAGGCGAATGAATGATGGAACGGAACAGAGGCAGAATTGTCTGACTACACAGGAGCATTTGCGACTTCTTATGTTCCCGGAGTTCCACTGGGGTACATGGTTCAGCAGCAGCGTGTAGGAAGGTGTGTACCGTCCATTCGTCAATAGCCGGGCATGGCAAGTAGCAGACCTAGTGTCATGGTCACTGACGAGCGAAGACCGCTCCCCTCCAAAGACAGTCCTCTTGGCTCAAGGTTCCGATTTCCCATGCCTTGCTGTGTGATGCCGCAGACAATTGACAACAGGCCGCGTAACATCCAAGGACGAGGCCGGAGTATTGACTCAATCACCCCCGTGGACCACCTCACGACAAGCCTCATTTGTCCCGTCCTGTCCTGTCCTGTAGATGTTTGATTTTACCATTTTTCAAAGTTCTTGCCGTTTGAGGAATCTATCTCGTGTGTGTACGTGTGTACGTGTGTACGGAGTATCTACCTACCCTTGGCCCTCCGTCTACCATCCTTTTTTGATCTACACGTTTCGCTAGACACGAATAGATCGCTCTTACAATAAAGATATATTATCCGATCCCCGGGCTTGCCTGTCGTTGAGTCATGCATGCAGCATGCAGCATGCACTTCACGACCATGAAATCCCCAGCATGATGGCCGCACCCAGGAACATGGCCCCGAACTGGAGAGCCGTCTTCTTCAACTCTTCCCCTTTATGAGGACCTGTCTCTAATAATTCCGGAATCACGGCCACCGTGCCGACGTACAGGAACGTGCCTGCCGTGAAGGGAAGTAACATGTCTCCCCAGCTGAGACTGGTTCCCCAAATACCTCTGGCCGCGCCGTCCGTAGCATCTCCAGCTGTGGAGGAGGAGGAGGAGGAGGAGGAGCCGCCGAACTCCTGCACGAAAATGCCGATGCCCGTGCCCAAGAAGGCGCCGACGGCTGTCACGAATTGTGCGCCCATGGCTTTCCGCTTCGAAAAGCCGGATTGGATGAGCAGGGCAAAGTCGCCTACCTCGTGCGGGATTTCGTGGAAGAATACCGCCATGGTCGTCGTGGCGCCGAGGGCGGGAGAGGCGTAAAAGGACGACGAGAGGGCGAGGCCGTCGGTTATGTTGTGTGTGAAATCGGCGATCAGGTTGAGGAGGCCCGCGAGCTTGACGGACGGGTTTTGAGGGTTAGTGCTGGATGGAGGAGCAGCAGCAGCAAGGGGGGAAGATGTGCCCGGAGCAGAGGAGGGTGGTTTGCGCTGTTTGAGATCCCCGTTCGCTGCTGCTGCTCCTGCGGTCGTGGTCGAGGATGTGGTTGTCGCTGAACTTGAACTGTGATCTTTCTCTTGGGCGTGCGAGTGACTGTGTCCTTCTCCCCCCGTGGCGATGCGCAATGCTTTGTCCATGGCCATGAATGCCACGAGACCGACGATGATGCCGACTCCGAGGAGGAGGTTTCTGTTGGGCTCGATAATCACAAACTTGACGCGGTCGTGCTCATCTTCACCGAGAAAGATCTCGGGCAGGAGGTGGAAAAGAGTGTCTCCTAGGAGGCCTCCTACCGCGAATGCCACCATGATGCTTAGCGACGAGGGGTCGATGTTCGGCGGACATAATGCCAGCAGAAAGTTTGGCGGGCCCGAGATGTATGCTGTCGCCAGGAGGGCGTTGATGGCTGGTGAGGACGAGGGGAACAGGTAGGCGAAGAGTTGGGTCGTCAACGAGGCTTGACTCGGCTGGTTCTTGACTTTGTGCTCGTTCAGAGACTGTACGAACGCGCATTGCTATCGCCCCAGAATGAGCTGTTGGCCTAGAGGAGGTTGGGATGGTTCAACATACCTGCAGATTCTCCTCGATCTCGTCGGGTGTCAGCAAGCCCACGTCCTTGGCAACCACCGCTTCTGCGCAGACAGTCACCACGAGGCCAAGTAAAACTGCGCAGAACGCATATTTCTGCAAGCCCCCTGCAGCCAAAGTCGGGAAACCCATTGTTGCTCTCAGTTGCCCTTGTTCGCTAACAGCACGCGACAATTCCCAAGGGCATCAGCAAGGACATGCAAGTCATGTCAATATTCAGGGGCCGCCGTTATCGATAACCGGCTGATCTTCGGTCGTCTTCAAAGCGACTGCGCAAGTATGGAGTGCGAAACTGAAGGTTTTTGTTCCGTGGCTCTTGAAGGACAACCTCCACAGAAGCATCAGAAGACATTCTACCTCTGCAAAGATGGGTCGTGAAAGACAGAAAAAGAAGAACAGGTCTTCTATCTCAAAGGCCAGACCAAAGGACAACCGGACAAAAGCAGGCAAGAAGAAGATAAATTTCCTGGGCAATGAGACAATTGCAAAAAATTGGTGAGGAATTGCTGTAGTCTCTCCGGGACAGCTGGTCAGAAGGGCTAACGTCTACAGGGACCGCAAACTCACCATGTCGCAAAACTATAAGCGACTAGGCTTGTCGTCTAAGTTGAATGCTCCGACCGGTGGCACAGAAAAGAAGGCGAACACGGGCACCAGCAACGCAGCTTCCAAGAGAGATTCGCTTGCAATAGCTGGCCTGGCACCTGCAAATCCATTGACACAGGAGGTACAGGTCGAGAGGGACCCAGAGACAGGGCGTATCGTCCGAATCATCAGGCCTGAGGACGAGGAAGAGGAGGATAATCCCCTTAACGACCCCTTGAACGACATTATGGATTACGAGACCCCCCCAGACTCAACATCAAAACCAGGCAATGATGTTGTTGCGCAGCTGGAAGCACAAGCAGCCAAAGAGGAGGAATTGCTAGCAAAGAAGCGCCCGAGACAACAAAGTCAAAGGGAGGAAGAATGGATCTCGAGGCTGGTAGAGAAGCATGGCGATGATATCAAGTCTATGGTGCGGGATCGCAAACTCAATCCAATGCAACAGACGGAAGGGGATATTGGTCGAAGGTTAAAGAAATGGAAAGCGAGCCACGGCGAAGTCACAAGCTGAGAAGACTGTCTGGCGTGAGCAATGAATTCCGACTATGTGTGGTTTGGGCCAGCCCGATACATGAATCCTGCAAAGCACACTCAGGTGACGGGTAGCTGTGCTTGGAGGAGAGAAAATGTGCCACTGAACCCGACACCTGCGCTCACTGCCCTGGTAAACCTGACCGAATTCAGGAGCACGAGAGGGAATTATCCAGGAGCGGCTCCCTGGTGTCTGTGGCACAAGTCACTTGCTCGCTTCATGGATAGGCATCCCACTGGAAATGGCGCCGTATCTTGCTGCGTTGGGTGGTTGCAGCCTCGATCAGGCCCTGCATGGGAACAGGCCCAACTGCAAGGCTGAGCTGCAAGGTGCAGCGGCTTCCGGAAGGAGGCCGACTGCTCATCCAGGCTCGAGGGGACGGACGCTTTTACAACGAAGTGTGCGAGTATTGAGGCGATCAGCTGGGTGACTGTGTGGTGGGACACCTCCTACTCCTTAGGGAGAACCGGGGAGCTCCGAAGTCTCAAAGCGGCTCCGACTGATGGACAAACTTCTCAATCCCAACCATCCCGTCAGGAATGTACCGAGTGCACAGTATGAGTACGATGAAGTCTCTTTTGCCTTGGACTCGTGCCTGGGCCCGGTGCCTATTTCTGGACAAGATGCTGAGTAGAACCTGGAGGACGGGCAAGATTACGTAGTTCTGCCGTCTGACTCGTATCGTGCTCGGGAATCGGAGTCCTGCCCAGAGTTAAGCGACCTGAGAAAATGCTAGAATGATTCGTGATCGAGATGGGTGGACCAAGCGGCTGCGTCTCTGTCGCCCCGTGCTCCGTTCGCGCAACCTGACTTCGCCGTCTCGTGGTCTTCTAGCACCGGGTCTGCCCATCAATAGCATCACCGGCCGTTGATTCCTTTGCTTCCGAATTGTCTGCTCATCGCCCCATCGTGATTGCATCCCCCATGACCGTAATCTCTCGTGCAATAAGCCTGTTGATATATGGCTACAGCGATCTTGGTCTGGTCTCCGGACCTGCGTGTAAGAAGTTCAAGATGCCGCAAATCTTCCAGCTTGATCCCCATCATCAAAAGATAGATGGTCGACCGGGACAGTGGTTCCCAAGGCTGGATTATCTGCCCAATTCGTAGCCTTTGCTGGATAGTGAAGTCACAGTCTACACGTGCCAGTGCGGCAGCAGAGCTATCACGATGATGCTGGCACTGTCACCGCCGTCCAGGTCCTCGCCATCTACCCAAATACGCGTCAGCAATGTCGTTTCCAAATCGCACCCCATCAGGAGTCCTTTCACAGCCACAGCCACAGCCACCGTGAAGATGTCGGGCCCTTGCGCGGGTCCCTCTACAACAACAGCGCCACTCATCCCAGACAAGATCTTCCCAAACCTGTATCTTTCAGAGTAAGTGGACGTGATTTCACGCGCAAGACACCTTCAGCACAGCGCCAGGCTGATCTTTTTCCGACAGCATCCATACCGCAGCAGCAGTCTTGAGTCCGAATTACTGCGCGCCAGGCTTGGATCGCCCCAAGATCAAATATGTCCTCTCTATCATTGACAACCCCGACAGACAACCGAAAGTTCCTCCTGGACGCGAATCAGAATTTGTCCTGAAGCTGGTCAAGATCCGCGACCTGCCCAATTGCGACCTGCTCAGCATCCTCAAAGAAGCGTGCACTTTCATCGGGACCAGCCTGAAGAACAACGACGGCGGAGTCCTCGTCCATTGTCAGAAAGGTATCTCACGGTCGGCAGCCGTTGTCATTGCGTTCGTCATGGAGGAGATGAACCTGAACTACGACACCGCATTCCGCTATGTCCGCAGCAGCCGTTCCAAGGCCCGGCCCAACGCAGGTTTCCAACAGCAGCTGATCTTGTGGTCGACACTCTGCTACAACATCCACGATGAAGACGGCAACGAGAAACCTGAGTATGTCGCTTGGAGGACAGAAAATGAAGAACGGATCAAGAAACTCGGGCCGCGCTGGACAGGCTGAGACTGACAACCGCGGTTCTCTCAGAACACAAGGCCACTCCTCCCAACGTGTGCAAGAGACCTGCCGACGTGCAATTTATTCTTGTGCTGATGCAGCGCTGTGGTGGCGACTTCCGACAATCAATATGACAATGTTTGTTGCTTAGTGTTGTCGCTGTCCAGGGCCGTGGGCGGATGTTTGCTTGTCGGCATGGCGACGCCAAAGCGGCTCTTCACACATCTCTTCCCCCCGGGGATCACAAACGAGCTTCCACCACTTAGAGCTGATTGGGTGGCACTTCACCATCTCATCGCCCTAGCGATGACTGACAAGCTTTCACATTCTTGAGCTGTCAAGTGGAATATTGCATCTCATGGTTATTCCAGCGCAGGCGCAGGCAGGTTCAAGACGGTGGTCTCGCTGAACAGTGTCGAGCAAATACTTTATGCTGACTGAATTGCTCCATTTCGCAGCAGCCCTTCCCCCTCGCCTCCCCCGTGGGTTCGAATCAACACAGCAAGCCACCCGATATCAGCGAGACTCTGAGAATACCCCAGACTTGGCATGAAATCCCCCGAAGCAGAGGTCTTACTGCAAACCCCTCCAAGCTCCTTTTCCCCATCACCCAATCGCCGGCCACACCACAAATAAGCTTATTTGGGAGCCCAATGATCTCTCTTGGTTCGTTCTGAGCTCAGTTCAATCTGAGTTGCATTGTTCATTCCAAGTCGAATGTGTTGTCACATCTTCAATCTTTCTTTTTCTTTCTCGTCATCAGGTTGTCATCCAGGGGACACAGTTGAGTCGATCGATTGTGTTCTATTTGAGTCCCTACAGTCTCGGCAGGACGTCAGCGTCTCGTTACTTTGCTTTCAGGAATTGAGGTGAACTATTCGGGTCTCCCTCTCACTCCTCCGTCAACCTTCCTTCGGCCGGGAGCATTCTTCTTTCTCGTCATTTTCTCGTCAACGACTATTCTCTTGAAGTATTTGGACCTTCTGCCTCTCTGTCAACCTTACGTCGACCCAAGATCTTTCCCTCCGACAACCTTTTCCGGCACAAGACCATTCTTCCTCCCTCGTCGACCTTTTCTTCGACGGAGGACCGTTCTCACTCCTTCGTTAACCTCTCTTCGACACAAACCATCCTTCTTCCTTCGTTAACCTTCTTCAACACAAAGCTATTCTCACTCCTTCGTCAACATCTCTTTGACACAGACCATCCTTCCTCCCTTCATTATCCTTCTTCGACACAAGACTATTCTCATTCCTTCGTTAACCTCTCGTCAACACAGACGAGTCTTCCTCTTTCCTCAACCTTCTTCGACACAAGTCTACTCTCCCTCCTTCGTCAACCTCTCTTCGGCACATACAATTCTTCCTGCCTCGTCGACCGTTCTTCGACGAAGAACATCCTTCCTTCTTCGCCAAGCCTTTTTCGACACAAGATCATCCTTGTTCCTCCGTCAGTCCTTCTACAACGACTACCCTCTTAACCTATCCGACCATCTTCCCCCCGTCAACATCTCTTCTATCTGGGACTATTCGTCCTCTTTCTCATATCTCCATCAACAGCTATCGTCTTACACCATTGGAAGCTTCTGCCTCTTCGTCGATCTTTCTTCCACCTAAGATTATTCTTCCTCCTTCTTCAACTCCTCGCCACAACCAGTCTCCTGAATTTTTGTACTCTCCTTCGGTCTCGAGCCTACAACGGCTTCCTTTTCCTGTTGTGCCCTCACGCTTTCGTATCTTCCACGCCACTCGCACGAAGCAAGCAAGGTATGTCCATCGACCCATCCTATGGCAAGGCAAACATTTCAGCACTGCACACTCCCGCCTTTGAGCCGATCTGTCGTCATACCGTGTTTGTTGGGGATGTTGCTGACTCTAGTAATTGCGGACACAGGTTGAATCCGACGAGTGCCTCATTGTCCTTCCCTGCATTCCTTTCTGTGAGTATGAAACCCGAGCACTGTCAACCAAACGAGACATAGCTCGTCGTTTGCCTTTGACAAACAACAAGCGGGATTTTGTTTGTACTGTTGCTGCGCTTTTGGCAATTCACCATGTGGCTTCGGCTATAAGGGGCTCAGCCTTCTCCATGTCCTTCACTCTTCACAACACAACATGAACACAACGAATATATACAGTCATCACTCACATCCTGTATACAGTCTGGTAGCCGCTGAAGCCCAGAGTTCTGGTGGATATTTGATAGCATCAGTTGTTCCCCGAAGATCTGGTAACCTTTTCGGCACCTTTCGGTACTTCAGTGCTTGTCTTCACATCAGTTATATTGACAAAGCTAACCTTCTATCTCAGGTTCTCCCTGTCTCCAGTAAGTTTCAGAAACGACTCTGATGTCCAGCTGTCACATGCGACCAGACTCCTTCCTCTCTTGCACATGCCAACAAACACAATGTCACTCATGGGAACCTTCTGGCTCATGAACCCCACTGGTGTGAATTGTACCAGTCGATGACCACAGCGATATCGACGTCATTCAGGGTCGAGGCCCCGATGGCCGACGATAGCCTAGTGATCAGGCGACGCTGTCGGAGACACGTTGTCACTGCGTCGTCGTCGTCGTCGTCGTCATGACTCTTGGCAAGCATGTGCTTCGTGTCGTCGACTACAAACATCTCCTTCCTCCCCTCTCATCCGTCCTCTTTCTTTCCTCCATATTCTCCATCCCTCGCTGTGCCATCAAACATCTTCCTTACTTCCATCCTCTCCTTCAGTCACCACCTCTGGTGTTCCCATGAGCTTACTCCTACACAGTCCATCACGCATTGATAGAGACTTCTATCATATACACCGACATCCCTTACCGACATTCTGCTTTGACTGGCTTCCAGTACTTGCGACACAGTCTGACAATCAAGCTAGCTTTCTTTCGTAAGGGCTCAGCTACCTTGATTTGTTGGTAAGCTCAGTGCTCCTTTCTCCGCAGTCGTCCATTCATCAAAGCATATCTGGTTCGGAAGGCATGTCGGATGCACTATACAATGCAGCACCTCCCCCGTATCCTCAGCTCCACGTCCGCAGCGGCAACGTTCGAGACTCAATAAGTCTAACGGCCTTGACTATTGGTGTCCTCCCTTCAACTTCTTGAGTGTAGAACTGCCAACAGTTGGCGGTTCCGATATACTATTTGTGCTGGACGATCTTCGTCGAGCAAAATACATTCGACGACGTCGAACTTACAGCATCTCCTGCATTCACTCGCCAGCATACGCGGTCTGGATCTGGTCGTTGGCTTTCCTATTAAGGCAAGCGGGTCAACGCCGTGCCTCGGCAAGGGCTGGGCGCAGTGTGAATTCACTATACTGTACCCCTAGGGAGTGGATCCGCGGAGACAATTCGACATGTGCAACCAGCACGGGAAGCCGACATTTATGATCACCAGGGGAAGCCGACCTGTGCAATCGACATAAGCACTATATACTGCACCAAGCGGACCACGCTGAGCACCACTTTCAACATGCATCAAGCCTCTTTCATTCACCATTGGTGGCGCTTCTCGACACACAACGTCCCAACTTTCCCAGCCACTATTGTCTTGATATGTCCTTGTTTTGTCGAATCTACACTTTGTCTTGCCATGTCAGTTTGGACGAAAGGGGCTGACGAAATGTTCACAGTTTCCATTCGACTTTACTTCCCCAATTCGATTTTGAGCAGTCAATATGGCCATCTTGACTCGCTCACAGGCCGCTAGTCAGGATTCCAAGGACGTCAAGGAGATCGACGAAGCATGTGCTGCCATTTCGTCTCCCATCATCTCTGGCAGCTTTGTGCAGGAATCATCCAGCTTCACGGCCCTACAGCCAATGGCTTCGGGCAGTGACTCTGATACGCCGATGTTGGATCAGCCAGCTTCGCTCACTGGTCTCGACGCCATCAAGCAGGAGTCCTCCGTCTCCGACAAACTGCCACAGCGTCAACGCCGCACTCTGAAGCTCACATTACGAGTCAGTAAGCTAGCAGCTGTGTCAAATACAGACATTGTCATGAAGGCTGAGGAGCTTGACAAGACCGTGGTTTTGACTGAGACACAATCTGCTTCCCAACAAGTTTCAGCAGCTCGTGGCAGAAAGCGTGGCTCTCCCCGTCAAAGTAAGCTTCCGTGTCCCTGTGTCTTGATCTCAGCTGACAACCCGAGATGCCCTTGCAGCCCCTGCAAAGAGAAGCAAGAGGTCCGCTGAAGACGCAGACGATGATTTCGAAGACGCAAGCGTTTTGAGAAACTTAGACAGCAGCGCGCGCATAACCCGGTCACTGCGCGTTCGCACCGTGCAAGGGACAGTCACTGGAGCAATTGCCTCTGCCGGCATAGGTATTGAGTCCGGTCCACTGATGCACGAATGCGGCTGACCCCCAAATAGCCAAAGAGGATACCCCCAAAGCAGCCAAAGGCGATACCCGTCCTGCCTTCATCACCATAAAGGTGCCGGGCCTCGTCAAGTTCTACAAAAAATGGAGGCTTCGGCCCCAAAGACGCCTTAACAAGAAAGGTTTCAGCTTTGCCCGCAACCAGTTGCCCTTCTGGTGCTCTCCAACGGGATACGAGCTGCGTGAGGTCGTGAAGATCCTGGAAGCAGAGCGCATGGTGTTGACCAAGTCTGTTGCGCAAACCGAAACAGCAGCGAAGCCGTTTCATGCTGCGAGAGGCCTTACCGTTGACAGCCTTGTCCGCGTCATTCTTTCCCAGGCCTTGTCCAACGAGGTCGCTTTGGACATGCAGCAGGCCCTGATCTACAACTATCCCTATGAGGTTGATGGGGAGATGTACGAGGGTACCAAACCAAACTACCACGAGATTCGGGAGCAGAGTGTATCCAAGCTTCTCAAAATCCTGACCGGAGCTGGGCTGCAAGGCGTCAAAGCCCTCCCGATCAAAGACTGCCTGAAAATCATCTACGAGAAGAACTTGTCGCTTCTGAAACCTGGTGAAGTTGTCTATTGCGGACAAGAGCCTGGCGCCAAAGACTTTGTGCCCGGATTGCTCTCAATGGATTTCATCTGGGATGCATACAGACAAGGTGGCAAACAAGCTGCGTTCAATGCACTCACCGCGCTTCCTCAGGTCGGGGTCAAAACAGCAGCTTGCCTCATGAGTTTCAACATGGGCATCCCGGTCTTCGCCGTCGATACGCATGTCGCCGCAATGTCAAAGCTTCTTGGCTAGGTACCAAGTTGGTGTGGCAACGAAGACAAGATGTGCAGCCATCTGAACACCCTTATTCCTGCAAGCATCGCGACGGATCTGCATCAGGATTTCTGGAGACATCGTCGTGGCTGTGCGCGATGTGACGGCAAGCACACTCCGAACAGCCATGAATATCAGACTGCAAAGTGTTGCTTGGAACACCTGATCAAGAATCGCGATGTCCTCTACAAGCCGCGAAAGGGTGCGAAAGCCGTCGACGACAAGCCAGGAAAGTCTGCAAGACCAAAGAAGCCGCTCTCAGAGGCGCAGCGCGAGCGTTTACGGCGCAAACGCCACGAAGCGAAACTCGCCAGAGGTTATATCTGCAGAGAATACGAGATGGACGACGATTTTGATGCAGGCGGCGAGAAGACGGGCCAACTGACACATGCATACTTCAAGGATCACAGAGCGAAGGCCTACGATGAGGAAGCGGTGGTTGTGATGGAAGAAGATGACAGCATCTACGAGCAACTGGTGGTCTGTACGAAGAAGATTTTGATCTGATGGCGCACATGAACAGCAGTGTTTCTGCGATACGGGAGCACATCTACTATGAGCTCTTATGAGTTTTCCGGCGTTTTTGGGGATTTGACACAAAATTTGTTTTTGTACTTTTCACGACATCGCACCATCAGTTGCCATCTGTGCCTTCTGCGCTTACAGACACCATGAGCTATTGCTTGCTTATGCACATACAAACATCATGAGCTGTTGCTTGCCAATGAAGGCCTTGTTTCCAACAACGTCTGCCTCCTTTCCACGTGAACACCGCGGAGGATCTGAGATCCTGACGGAGCTATGACGGTCTCCTGTAGCACGAGTCGCTATGATGATATAGTGTTTGGCGACATGTTTTCGGTCTGTTGAATACAGCACAGTATCTCTCAGTCATCAGGTAATGCGACTCGCGCATGGCAAGTTGTCATGAATGCATCCAGACGGCGACCTGTCTTGAGCAGGGGGCTTGCGAAGCCTACTTGCCCATCGACTCCCCCAGCAGTCATATCAAGCAGTCACTCTAGTATATCGTGAGAAGGCTGCTACTATGCAAACAGCTGGCGGTGGATGCAGGAAGGAGAAGAAGCTGCACGTGCCGCACTGGAGCAATCTCAATGATCGTGCTTGTTTCGATGACGTCTCCACGTTCAGCTCTCCCCGCCATCATAGACGACGAAGCCTCGGACACTTGGAAGTCAGGAAGATGCTGGGCATTGTGTCTATTTGTCGACAGAAGTTGGTATCGGATCGAAGTGCTGGATCCAAACTACGCGACAGGAGCTAGGAGTCTCGGTGACCTTGATTGCTGCTGCACATTAAGTCCTCCACAGAACATACCAGCAAAATGTCTTCCTTCGACCACTACGCCTTACTCAAGAACCTCTTCGTCCTCGGCACGACCACTTCTGCCGTCGGTGCTGGTCTGTCGTGTTCTAGTCTGTGTCACCTTCACTGCTGATGCCAGCTCCAGGTGGCCTGCTTTTCACATCGTACCTACACATTCCGGCATATGTGAAGAATACCTCGGACGAATCGCTCCTGACTCAATGGCAGACCATGGGCGCCCTTGGCCGAGCCGCTCTGCCACCGCTGGCTCTCATTGCCGCCGGTGCTAATTTTGTCAACTCTTACCTCACCCATGGTCAGCCACAGCAAATCCGGTTCATCACAGCCGGAGCCTTGAGCTTGGCGATCCTTCCGTACACTTTCGTGGCGCTGGGTTCGACAAACGCCGAGTTGACCGCGAGGGCTGCGAACAAGGAAACTGGCGGGGTGTCAGCGGCCAGGGGCCAAGATGTGAGGAGTCTGATCAGTCAATGGGGCACCCGCAGTGCCGTTCGGGGTGTTCTCATGCTCGCAAGCGCGATTTTCAGTTATGATGCCATGTTACATCTGACATTTTAGAGGGTGAGGCCGGATCAGCCAGGGCCTTTGTGCCATCACTGCGCTGCTGGAATGTCCTCTTTGTCGTTAGCTTGTGGACTTTCCATCCCGGATAATATACCTGCAAATCCAGCGAAACCCTTAACACGAGAGCCTTGCAAAGAGCTTAGGAGGAGCTTAACAGGAGCTGGAAAGTAGAGCACGAGTCGGCCTTCATATCGCGGGGCACGACTCCCCAACAGCTGGACACGCTCTATCACGAAGCGGGAGTGGGCGGCGCGACTAGCAGCCTATCCCCAGTAGTTGATTTGTTAGCGCAGGTTAGTGCCGTTAGCGGCTCCCTCGTATTGATCTGAATTCCTCCGGTCGATCTCCGTCACCGTCTCGGCCAATGAGCGGCGGGCTATAGCTGCCCTAGCGCATTGCGATCCAGGATGCGGCTTGTTCGTGCGAGGCGAACTTCAACTCAGGATGCTACCTTTCCCCACGACCATGGGACCATGGATCCTGAAGCCTGCGCACTAACGGGCCTTCTGGAGAAGGCCGACAGGGCATTGTCTTTTCTCTTATCTCTGCAGCCACCGTCGAAGCCGTGGAAGCTTGCCAGGGCTTGCGGAAAGCTTGCGACGACCATCGGCTTACCCTAAGAGGCAGCTCCTCAGACGACTTGTCCCTCCATGGTCTCCGGCAATGACTGTTCGGCGAGCTCATAGGAGGCTCTCTAGTCGAGCTGCAGGTCCCTCGTCATTGTCATCCATCCTCACGTCGCTTGTGCATTCTTTTGAGAGCTCTTGCCCCTGCTCTCGGTCAAGGCCGAGCGTGTGGGGCAGCATCTTCACCTATCTGTACCTGTTGCAGCTGGGAGCTACCTCGCTAGATGCAATGCGAGGGTGCCGCGGATCAAGAGGGAAGAAAACGAAATGCAGATAGCTTGCGAGGGAGGTGATGCATGACAGATCCTGTCGTGCTACCACGCGATACAAGAAGTCCTTCTCTTCCGAGCGCATGCGCTTCCTTGTCTCGCTTTTCTTTGCTGGTATCGTCCGAAAGTGGAAGCTTGACGGGGACTCTAGCTTTCAGCAACATGTTCTTGCTTTCCACAACAGTGCTGCTGGCCAGTATTAGCCAGCTCACTCTGGCTCAGTTCGTGACTCCTCCCAAGAATCTCACGAGCAAAACAGGTTACGCCGATGTCACTGTCCGCTACAAGTCTGTCCCAGCAGGCATTTGCGAACAAGATCCCGATGTGAAAAGCTATGCGGGCTACGCGGACGTGGCGCCTGGCCAGCATATCTTCTGGTGGTTCTTCGAAAGCCGAAACGTCGACCCTACTGAGGCGCCGTTGACCATCTGGATCAATGGCGGTCCCGGCTCGTCATCGATGATTGGCCTGTTTCAAGAATTGGGACCCTGCCGAGTCAATGAGGACGGAGAGGCCGTGAACAATCCATACTCATGGTCAAACGTCAGTAACATGATCTTCATCGACCAACCTACGCAAGTCGGCTTCAGCTACTCGACCCCTGTGCCCGGCTACGAAGACCCGAACTCTGGATACCTTGTCGAGCTACCTAGCAACAATTGCCCTGGCTATGCCAGCGACTGGGCATGCGGTACGTACTCGTACTGGAACGAATCCTTGACCGCGAACAACACGCCCGCCGTGGCCCCGAACATGTGGAAGACCCTGCAAGGTTTCATGGGCGCGTTCCCCGAGTATTCGAGGCAAGAGATCAACTTTGCAACAGAGTCATATGGTGAGTGTGTGGGCATAGTCTCGTTCCTACTGGCAGCAACAATACTAATGCTCCGACTTTGTTCTACGCCAGGCGGCCACTACGCACCCATCGTTTCTGAATATTTCATCCAACAGAACGCACTGAACATCAGCGGCGCGCAAAACATTAACCTCCAGCACGTTCTGATCGGGAACGGATGGTACGACCCACTGGTCCAATACCAGGCATACTACAACTTCAGTGTATCCCCGGGCAACACCTACAACGTCAGCCCGTTCAACCAGAGCGTCAAGAGTGAGGCGCGCCCCCCGGTGAAGAGATGGAAGGACATATACACAAGGCTAACAAGTGTCCCCTAAACATAGACCAATGGTACAACAACCTGTACGGGCCGGGAAACTGCTACGACCAAACCCTCGACTGCAACACGCGCGGCATCGACGAAATCTGCTCAGCAGCCGACAACTTTTGTTTCCAGGTGAGTTCATCTTTCGCCCCACGCTCTCTTGACGTTGCGGGAGGGGCAGACGCCTCCTTGCAACAACTGGCATGTGTTGAATGAATGAAATCCAGCAAGTTGAAAACCTGTACGACATTTACCTGAACCGCGACGAGTACGACGTGCGGTACCTCGTGCCCAACCCGTTCCCGCAATCCTACTACATCGACTACCTGAACACGGCACGCGTGCAGGCCGCCATCGGGGCGTACGTCAACTACTCCGAGTCGTCGTCGGCGGTGGGCAACGCGTTCGGCAGCACGGGCGACGACGACCGCGAGATCGGCACCGTGGCCGCCATGCAAGCCTTGCTCGCCCAGAACGTCTCGGTGACCATGTACTTTGGCGACGCCGACTACAACTGCAACTGGCTCGGCGGCGCAGTGGTGGCCGACCACGTCGCAAGCCCCGGCTACGCGGCCGCGGGCTTCACCGACATCCGCACCAGCGACGGCGTCGTGCACGGCCAGGTCCGCCAGGCCGGCAACTTTGCCTTTGTCCGCATCTACGAGTCGGGCCACCTCGTGCCGTTTTTCCAGCCGCTCGTCGCCCTCGAGCTCGTCGACCGCACCATTCACGGCCTGGACGTCGCCACGGGCCGCACCCCAATCTCGTCGGCGTACCTGACCATGGGCACCGACACGTCGACTTTTGTCGAGGGCAACCGCACCGTGCAGTTCAAGGTCACGCCCGACGGGAGCGTCTATAACACAACGACGAACTTGCCTCAGACCGGCGGTGGCGCGGGTGACGACGGCACGGGCGATCCGCCCAAGAGCAAGGCAAAGGCAAAGCCCAAGTCTTCGAAGAGGGCGAGCTATAATCTCAAGGAGGCCAGGCGCATGAAGCTCGAGAGGCGGACGAGGAGGAGCATGGCCAAGTCCGAGGCCAAGAGGTCCGACGACGTGAATTTCAGTGGGTGGGTGACTTTGTAAATTGGAGGTCCGTGTTTTTATGAGATGGAATACGAGGTATCATGGAACACGATCCACGGATCATGATGAGAGAGAATAGAGACTTCTCGTCTTCGTTTGGTTTCTGCATCCTCGTGTTGGGCCTTGTTTCCTCTCACTTCCCCCGATTCTTCTTTTTTGTTCATTCGAGATACCCACGCCAAGGGACCACGAGACGCTACATTTGCCCCATGCCACAGTACATACGAGCAGCAATACTTGCAAGGCCCGTGTGCATTATTGCGTGGGCTCTCGCACCGCCGCTGACTACCAGGACGTCGACATGCTCGGATCTGTGCGGAATCCAGACGCGTCCTTCTCTGCCGCTCCACCGCACTATCATGCTATGTGGAGAAAATGGCATTACTGAGGGTTGCGGCCTCGTTCATCTTTCCCGTCAATTCTTTCCTAGATGCGCCGAAGCTCGTATGCATGCGTAGGTGTGCTACTTGGCGAGATAGCTATTACTTCATCCACTGAGTATTTCTCCAATTCGGCATCGTGCTCTTCCAGAGTGGGAGGCTTCTACCTGGCTCCTGGAGTGGGCTATCTTTTGGCCATGGTGCTGTACTGGTTCGCCATCAAGTCGGGATCCTGTTCTGTATGTACGTGTGAGAAGCGCTGCTTAGCGGAGCTTGTGCTGGTGTGTACGCGGACCCAGGGAATCAGTTTGGCATACGCGGGTCATTCACTGGCTGGGAGTGTGTGTCGTCTGTCGCTATGGCGATTTGACCCTTTGCGAGGCCGGCTGATTGCGTCTATCTCGGGGTATAGCTGCGCCTTTCCTTCTTAATCGACTCATCTCAAACGTAATTATTCGTTGTAATGATACACCTGATAGGCACCAAGAGTCAATCAATCGCTCCTTACGTTTGGGACCGAAATTGCAATACTCACAAAGTAGTCGGGCAAGCCCCAGACGTCAAATCCAAGGCGCCTCGCCATCTTCGCAAAGCCTTCCGTCTCGATGAGGTGATAGAATGGGAAAGGAGGGAACATGGCTCCATCCCGGTGAACCTCGGCCTTTACCAACAGAGCTGTTCCGCCGACACCATCGAGGGGCATCAGACGACGTTCGTCACGATCACTGCCTGTCTTGGCCAGTTTTGTCATGAGTGTCCTGTATGTAGCCATCTCAGCATATCCCTCCAACAGGACATCATCAGGACCCATCTTGCTGGCAAGTTCTTGTGCAACGTCGCTGTCTCGCCACGTGTTGAAGTCGTATGGTCTGATGTCTTCTTGTCCTTCGTCGTCAATGAACCGTTGCATACAGCTTGGCGCAATGACTGCTTTGTCATGGCTGGCTAGGTCTTCGATGAGGGTCGCGGGAGTCTCGACCACATCGCCGTCGAGCCATAGCACCCATGCGGTGTGTGGGCCGATGGTGGTGAAGAGCAGACTGTTGCGTGCTTGAGCCATAGACGCCCGCCGAGCTTTCTGGTTTTCCATCTTGTGCCGCTCTTTTTCGTCTTGCGAGCTCAAGGGAGGCTCGAAGTCCTGCCGTAGAATGGTCACAGATTGGAAGCGCTTTTCCACGGGGCCCGATTGTGTCTCCTTGATGGCCTCTTGTAGAGCAGCGGTTGCTGCATTGCCCTCCTTGGTCTTCGGTGTGATGAAACCCAAGCTGATGTGCTCGTGGGGATAGCTCAAGGCCAGCAGATTGTCCCAGTATTTAGGGTAGAAGCGGGCAAGAGGCGTGAGGATGAGAACCTTCTCGTTCTTCTGGGCTGGCCATGCTGTGGAAGTCAGGTTGTTCAGCTGATAATGAACGACAGGAGGCGGCCGCCGGACACCACGGGCATTCTGCGAGTTGGGCTGCCTGCGAAAGGCAGAAGTGGGAGGGGAAAGAGGGTTGTCTGCCGCCGACGTTTGGACTCGTAAGCGGAGTTCGGTCTGATCAATGGAGGTGTTGTGGATGCTGTAGAGGAAGTAGAGGAAGACAACGCCGAGAAAGACAGCGAGGGTGGTTGTCCGCGTACCGCTGTTGCGTGTCGGCCGCATGTCGAGGTAGGGTATGCGCTCACCCCGGACAGGATTCCAGCAACAGTGTCAACTTACCGACGGTACCCGGTTCTGAAGGGGCATCGTCAGGAAGGTGGCCTGCAAGAGCGTGCTGAGGGTGGAACCACCGCGGGCCGATGGTCAAAAGACAACAGCTACAGAGGCCGCAAGAGAGTACGAACAAAGACTAAGTGAAGGAATGGATGTTGCGCCTCTGGCAAGAACTGGCATTTGGCATTGTGAAACGTGCAGACGGGTCATATTCCTGTCTGTGGCTGTGCAGCCAGCGGCTGTGGCGGGCTGTGGCTGACTGTGGCACAACGAGAGAGGTGAGTGGCGCAGTGGCGGTGAATCACCCGGATACATTTGTCCGCGTACTTTCATGGACAGATAGAATATGACGGCTCAATCCTCAATTTCAAGAAAGCTTTGGTCTGGTTGAAGCTGTGCTATTCAGTGATAGACCTATTTTTGTGCCACTCCAGTCCTGCCATTGACCTTGCGCTATGCTGAGTATGTAAATGCAAACTCCTGCAGGAAAATCAAGGTATGCCAGGCAGCGATGTGGCAGGAGGAGCTGTTATGCAGTCTCGACCGTACTATGAGTCCAGCCCGTAGGGATGCTTTCAAGTCTCTGATCGACGAAAGAACGAAATGAATGCTGCAGGCTTTCATAAGCGCTCAGGGCGATCTCTAGGCGCCGCCTACAGTTCCGAGTGCTGTGCTGACATGACACAAAGGGAAATCGTACAGTCGCTTTGGATATCTCCCGCATAATGGAGAGTGGACTTCTCAATGCGCGGGATCCGGGCGTCGTGAGCCCCATCATTGGTAGACATCGGTTTGTCTACCCTGTTTGTTCTTGTTCGAGTCCTCCTTGTCTGAGGAGGCTTCACTGCGCGGACTCCTGGTTGGACCCGGACTTCCTGCTGGCGAAACCTTCCCTGCCCCGGCGACTTGAAAGTAATCATCGCCTTCTTCCAGGGCCAGTGGTGTGACCGGGCCTTTGGGGCTGCCGAGAGGATCCAAGCGCGGTGCGCCAGGCTTGATACCCATCGACGAGGCTGCGATCTTCGATGACACGTGTGCTCTTTCGAGGAATTCGCGTTGCTTCTCGCGCATCAGCCGCGGTGACTCCATCTCGATCGGCTCCGTCACACGGTTGAGCGAGATTGCTGGGCTTTGAATGGCCGAAGACGGTGTCGCCGCTTGGTCGCGATGGATGAAGTTGCCAGGGTGAAACCGGGGCAGCGTCATGTGCATGTTGCGGGAGGCTTGCCGTGTGTGCTGTCCTGCTCGAGCGCGGGTTGGAGGAGGAGAAAGCGGGTGTTGGCTGGAATGAAGTCGTGGTGATAAGGGTGAGGTTGGCGTGTAACGCCCTGAGTATCCGTCAGGATTCATCCTTTGAGAGTACCCCATTGAACAAAGAGGCTGTGTGGCCAAGTTGACGGGATGAACGCCGCGGACCCTGCGTTTCTTTGGATCTCTGCGACGTCGACCGAGTGCCCCTTCGCTGATTGCATGCGGCAGCTGCAGTTCCGGTTGCGGGGTTGTATGAGGTGTGCTCTGGGTGTAGGTGAGAGTGCTGGAAGAAACCTGGTTCTGCAGCAAGACAGAAGGCCTTTGCAATGCGTGATGACTTGTTCCGGGGAAGGGCTGGGACGATGGATATCACCCCTTGCGTTGCTCAGCACCTTCTCGACACTTGGACGTGAGCTGATCCTTGGGACGAACCGAGGGCGCCACGGATATAAGTGGTCCTCAAATGCGTCGGTGTTCAAATATCGGAGAGTAACAGATCAAGATTCACATGGAAAAGACGGAAGAGAGGGGCTGGAGTTTTGGATCCCAAAAACCCGCGTGTCGCACAAGGATATAGGTGGACGATCAAGCGCTGGAGACGACTCAAGAGACGACCTGTGCCTTGGGATATTTCCGTCAAGTCCTTCTGTGACTTGTCCTTCGCAGAGTATCTGTCGGTCAATGAGGTTCAGACACAGAGCACGAGGTGGGCTCGGTGGGATAGTCTTGGCCGAGCCTGACCGCCCAGGTATACGAGGTACGTTGGGGCAGGTTTGACTTGCGACGACCGAGAATTGTGGGCGGCGATCAACAGCTACCCAGTGCCGTCAGTGGCTAAGAGCAGAGTTGATCTCGGGAAACGGTGGGTTGAAACGTGATAAAGGATATCAGCGCGGAGAGCCGCGAGTAATATGTGTACCAGCGAACACAGTGGAAGGCTTGGCCTGCCAACAGTCCACAGCAGACTTGGCTATCGACTCGTCACTGCACAGAAGCCGGGAAGATCTTCATGCTTATGCGAAGTCTAGAACGTTGAATGGGAGAAGCGGCGCATGAGCCATGCTTTGAAATGTTGTGTTCTGGGTATGCAGGGCAAAGTAGCCAGACGCCCGAGGAACATGGAACGGTACCTTTGCGTCCATTCGCCAGTTTGCACCAGGTGGAGCCCGCCAGCAGAAATCCCGAACAACGCGATGACGGTAAGCGTGGAATTGGGAACGCCAACGAGCGCCACCCGCTCTAACAGCCAACAAACTGGCCGCGATGGACCCAGATGGACAGGGATCCGCCGGAGATCAAACGAGGCCCAAGGGAGTCTTTCGATGCCCGCCGCCTTGGAGGCCGTGATTGCGAGGCAGATGTGCAGATATCATATAATCTCTATTGAGTATCTGGATCAATGCAGCGTTAGATAGGGACCAGTTCAAATCAGCAAACACCACAGTGGCTTTGACTTGATGCTCGCCCCCTGATGTCATGCTTCGAGAAGCGATGAACCGATCTCGATGTCAGGCCTGACTACGGAGTTGGTCTCATCACGGGACGCACAAAGCCCAGAGAAAGCGTCAGACCAGCGGCCAATTGAGGTCCGAGAGACTACAGCCCGTTTTTCCGCTCGGGCTGTGTAAATTTTGGTCTGAAGCATACGGAGTAGTCTATCTCGCATTATTCTTGGA